TTGCAGACACACACAGGCAGGATCCATGCTTCCAGGGCAGAGGACGTTGTTAAAGAGCCTTTGTGAACTCCCCAAGGTCAGCCAGAACAGACAGCATCCACTAATCCAAGGTCATTTCCTGGGCTAAAAGCAATAAAATGTTTTATTGATAAACTGAAGAGGGGAGAATATGCACTAAATCCACTCTCAGACATTGTGGGCCATGCCTGGGATGTTCTGCCTTTGCCCTGGCCCTGCCTGGGATAATACACAGGTCTTCATGCTGGAAGAAAAGCGTTTTCTGGTAGGGGCTGAGCACTTGGCTGCCTTCCCTGCCTCCTCCCAGCATGTGGCTGGGTAGTGCCAGGGCATTGCTCCTGAGAAGCATGTTCCCAATGCTCCACTGGCCTTCTGCTGTGAAGGTTTGGCTCCATTTTAGGGACTGCAGCTCAAGTGTGAAGAGGCTCCAGTGTGCAGCATCCTCACCTCCCACCCCAGGGAGCCATGCTGCCCTCCCTGTTTGGGACTGCTGGGCAGACTGGAGTCTCTCCAGTCAAGTTTGCACCACAGTGGTTAAAAAAGAAAAGGACTGTGCATGCATGTCAGCCCTCCTTTCTTCCCCCTCCCCGCCCCAAATAATGCTGTTAATAATTAATCGAATGAGAGCTTGCAGCTCCTGGAAAGCTGGCAGTGGGACCTCCCTCCTGAACGGAGCTGCTCAGCTGGGCTTAAAACTCTTCAATAGGAATATGAAAGCTCCATCTGTTCGACGTACCCGGCCTTCTGAAGTGACAACGCTGTCCCTCCCCAGCCAGCACCCTCTCCCCCCAGAACGGGCCCTCCTGCCCCAGGGGCAGGGGTCTGCCCTGCACCCTGGCTCTTCCCACAGCAGGAAGCTCCTGCTGTTACCCTCCACCCATGCCAGCTGGTTTATCCAGCTCCCGTGCGCCCTTTTTCCAGCTGGGACCCTTCCTCCCCTCTGCCAGGGTGTGTTTTCATTAACCCCATGCTAAAGCCAGGCTTGGGCTCTCTCCTCCTCTCTCTGCAAGGCTGGACTTATCTGTGTAGCAGTTTGCCCCTTGGCTGGGATGGCCCGTTTCTGTCCAGGCTGCAGATCCTTCTGTTCTGCACAGCGTGTGTCCCCCACAGCCCGTTTTGTCCCTCGGGGGAGGCAGGGCTAAGCCGTGCCCGGCTTGCAGCACTGCACTGTGGAGGTGATGGGTGAGCCGGTGCTGTTGCAGGGCTGCAGGGAAGGAGAGAGCCAGGGTCTGGATGTGAGGTGCTGGCAGCACAGGGGGAGCCGGGGCAGGGGCTGAAGCAGGGGCAGCAGCCTGGGCTGGCAGGGTAGCGAAATGGCGAGGTGAGCTGTGTCCACCTCTCTGCCAGCCCTGGTCGCAGCAAGATGTACCTTTCCTTCAAAGAGAGGATTGCCATCAAGATGGCACAGCGATGGGCACAGAGGGGGGAAGAGCCTGTGTCTCCTCGAAGGGTGTGGAGAGGGGGAAAGAGGAGTAAACTCCCGGTGGCATTGTTTTCAGAGGAAGTGCTCAGTGTAAATAGAGCTTGTGGGAGAGTTTGTCCCGGGCAGAGATGAAAAGTCCGTGTGACAGGATCAGGTTATAAATGGCTTCCTTAGATTGATGTGAAATCAAAACATTTCTATTTAGACGAAGAAAATGAAGGGGGATGTTTACTTAGCCTGGAATCTTTAAACAGTGATTTGGGGTGGGGAGCTCGGCCTGGGGGCAGGGTGCCTCTGCCTGGCTTCTGGGATCTGGCAGTCCCGACCTTGGGCAGATACAAAGATGCCTCATCCAGCAGCTCAGCCTCTCTCCCTCCGCCTGAGAGAATGAAACACAGGTGCTCTGGTCTCCTCCACCTGAGGCTCATGGTCAGCATTTCTCTGTAAGGGTTTCCCTTCTGCTCCTGGACTTGACAGCCTAAAAGAAGGAAACAGGAATGTCCCTCCCATTCCATAGACAAGGAAGAAAGGAAATGAAAAGATAAATGTGTCCAGACTTGGAGAAGTTTCCCTTCTGCTCGTGGACTTGACAGCCTAAAAGAAGGAATGTCCCTCCCATTCCATAGACAAGGAAGTAAGGGAATGAAAAGATAAAATGTGTCCAGACTTGGAGAGAGGTGGTTGCAAGGTTGGCAGGAGAAGCTGGAAGTTCTGATTTCCACCTGTATTGGAATAGGTGAGATATAGAGCCCTGGTATTTCAGAGCAAATCCCATTCCAGGAAGGTCTCTGGGAGGGTTAATTCTGTAGATTAGGGAAGTGGCATGTTTTCAGAACTTGCTTTATTTTTAGCGTAAACTTTATTAAAATATTCTCAAAATGTTAAAGAGAAAAGATCCCAAACAAAAGAAGGGAAAGGAAAGATGCCAAGGGGCAGGGCAGGAGCTGGGGGGCAGAAGCTGGAGAGGTAGAGGGGCAAAGCCAGGGTGTGTGAGATGGAAGGAGGCAGAGCAGCAATGGAAGACAAGTTGCAGGCTCCCTGGAATTGCTGCATACGCGGCAAGTGCAGCCTCAGGAACGTCTGTTCCTCTTTTCCTTTGAATAAATATTTATATATTCATTTGCCAGCTGGTGCACACACTTGGCTGCTCACCTCCAGACCAGAATAATGGGATCTGCCTTCCTGGCAGAAAGGGGTAGGGCAGTGAGGATTTGGGCTGCCGAATGTCTGCCTCCCAGTTATCTCCAGCTGCGAGCGGTGCTGATCTCACCGGTTAAGCAGGGCTGGCTATCATGAGAACACGGACAGGGAATCACCAGGCCGTGTTTGGGACAGAGGCTGGTGATGCCACGCTGACCCAGTGCCCTGGCCCCGGGCAGGCACCGCATGGAGGCTCCGTCCCAGCCACCTGCAGCCAGCGGGGTTCTCCTGGCCTTTGGCCTGAGCCCACAGGCATCAGCTGTAGGTGTCCTGGCCAGGCTCCACTTGGAGCTCACAGCAGCCTCCTGAGATTCCCTCTGGGGTACCAGTTGGACATAGGATCAGCCTTCACTTTGTGCCCTAAATAGTGGGAATGAATTGGAAGGGAAGGTGCCAGCAAATAAAGACTTGCAGCTTTATGGGCATCTGCCTGTGCCCATCTGTATGTGCGAGGGCTGCAGGCTTGTGTTGGGGAATGTGTGAAAAAAGGAATGCGTGGGGGAAGGCACAGGAATGTATTTTGGGGAGATGGGACTTCTTAACCTGTACATGTAGGACTGTGTTTACGGAGTGTGCCAGCGCATACACACAGCTCTTTGAACAGCTGTAATTTCTAGATGGGGAGGTACGTGTTTGGGAGCATCGTGTGCTTTCCCTTCGTGAAAGCATGATTGCACGTAGGTGTTAGTGCCGGGGGGTGCGTTTGGAAAGTGGAGGAGTACATTTTGCCTCCCTTTGTGTGGGGGGCTGATATATTTGTCGGGGGGTTATTTTTCTTGCAGTCCTTGACAGGGAAGCGTGTCTGAAGCTGTCAGGAGTTTACGCTAAGCAGCCACTCTCTGGCTGTTGGACAGCAGGTCTAAAGTTTCAGTCTGTTTGTATTGGGCTGTCATGTTACGGGATTAGGGGCTGTCACAGTGGCTTCTGGGTGCATTGTAGGGGGTCTGATTAATCTCACTGTGCTTCTGTGGAGCAGCACCTCTGTGCTGGTGACAGGGAGGTGTGAGCTGAGCTGCCACGAGGGAGTCCTGTGCAGTAGAGGAGCCCGTTCTCATCATCTGAGGTCTGCAGACATGTTCTGTTCGCTCTACATGTGACTGGCCCCTCTTTCAGCACAATGTAAAATCCAAGACCCCATTTTGGAGGGACCACCACCTCCAACCATATCCCCACAGTAACTCTAGTGGCGTGTGTGACCAGCAAGTGTTTTATTGAGTGCTCTTCCTGAGCCCTGGAATGCAGGGCAGGGTCTGCCTTGGCTGTGCTCTGGGAGAAGAGCCAGGCTGTGTGCCCGTTGCAGCCTTCCGTGCTTTAACCCTGCTTAGTCTGGGCATCTCTCAGAGGTATCAGAAATAAAGAGAGAAATGAGACAATGCAACTGCTTTAGAATATTTATTTTGCTTTTACTTGGGATTGAACCTTGTTAATTGTTGGTGCAATAATTATGCAAGTGACTCTGATAGAGACCATTTAGTTCAAGATTCTCCATGACCTTGAAGTTAAGACCTTACCTTCTTCCTCTCTCCCCCCACCTTCTCTCACCCCTCCTTTACTAGCTGTCACATATGAATAAACTACATTAAAATAACAAACTCACACTAATTAGCTGATTGTGCTGGGAAGTATGAGAGCAGAATTTCCTGTGTGCGAGAGTGAGCAGGCAAAGGGGCCTGATCAGCCAGTACCAGCCCACAGCAATTTTCTCCATACTGCTGTGACACACCAGTTGTGGTGCTCCAGCACAGACGCTTTGCCAGGGCTTCTGTCCTCCATACTGGTTCTTTTAGGTGCATACTGGTTCTCTTCTCTGAGACTATGCACAAACTCTTTTAGGTGAATTCCTCACTGTCCATAGGGTTAGGCTTGGGAAGCTGTTGTCCTTGCTAGAGATGCTTGGGTGCAGTCACTGGCTGGTGTGGTTTTGACACCCACTACATCTGGGATAGAGCTAGGGACCTAAAGAAGGTGGTGCTGCAGTCTGAAGGAGAGGGCAGTCCGGGCTTTTAACAAACTCCTATCCTGCCTTAGCCAGGAGCAAAGGTTGGTGCCACGCTCACCTGCCTGGGATGTTTGGGGTCTTTCAAGCCCAGTTCTGTCCCAGGACAAATAAGTGCCACTTTATGGCCAGTGGCATATTTTGGTCCCAGCAGATTCAGAGGATGCTTCTCACCGAGCTCTTCTGGTTGGGCTTCCACTCAGAGCTTAGGAAGCACATAGTAACTCCACCTTTCCAAAGGTGGCCATGAAACTGGCCATGCCTGAAAGCCCAGTGGGTTGGCACCATCCTTTAGCTGTTTGGGTTCATGTTGTCTGATCCCACTAATGCCCTTCCTTGCTTCTCTCTCCTGTCTCTTCCTAGCTGAAAAAACTATATGCACTGACGCAGCCTCAGGAAAACCCGCAATGGCTGCCAAGCGCAAAGGCGGCCTGAAGCTAAATGCCATCTGTGCCAAGCTGAGCCGCCAAGTCGTCTTCGACCACGGGGGAGCTGAGCAGGCACGTGCGGACAAGGGGCCACAGCAGGAGAGCAGCAACAAGGACCTGCCCCAGCCTGGGACCAAAGAGCTGGGGACAGAGTTTTCAGATGGACTCAGCTGCGTGCAGAAGATCGAGGAGGACAAAAGGAGGGAGGTGATCGAGAAGTGGGTGAACGGGGAGTACAATGAGGAGCCCTTGCTGGGGCGAGCAGAGGGCAAGGAGTGTAAGGGCACTGAGAGCACAGAGGTGCCCCCTGAAGGGGTTTACATGGTGCAGCCCAAGGGCTGCAGCGACGAGGAAGATAACGGGGACGAGGCAGACGCTCTGAGGGGCTCACAGGATGGCAGCTTCTTGGATGACAGGGATTCAGATGGGCCAGCAAAGGACGATGCCTACCGGTCCTCCAGTGGCGAACCAGGCTCCAAGCTGGGGGCAGGAACCACCTCAGGTAAGCACTCTGTCCCCTCCATTTCCTGACACAGGGCAGCTTCAGAGTTACATTTTCTGTGTCCATGCCAGGTCCTGCAGCACCTGGCAGCCAAGGGTGAGAGCCCTTCGCCCGGGCCTGTCATTTTGCTCTTGGGACCACACGGAGTTTGCCTCTGGCTCAGCCGCCCTTCCCAAGAAGGGTGGTGTGAGGGTGGACGTGGCTGGATAGTTCTTTCCAGGCCACAAATCCCTGGGTGGGGCAAATCTCACCCTCCACACTCCTTCACACCACTCAGATGGCCATAGCTGTGGTGGGTGCTGGTTTCCTGCTCTTGTATTCCCACGAAAGCAAAGAGAAGCAGAGATTTGTCTTGTGACAAATCCCAGGTGCATCCTGCAGGGTGTCCACACGCGGGCTGGCTGAGTTACCTAACCACCCTCATGGCCACACGTGGCACCTTGATCAGTAACTACTGGCCGTGGAAGGCCCAGGACGAGCTGGGAGAGGGTCAGGAACGCTGACAGGGCTGCCTCTTCCGCAGCTCCTGAGGCCCGATGCCGAGCCCCGGCCTGCGGGCCCTCAGGTGAGCAGAGGGCGGCCCCCGGGGACGGGCGGCCCCACGCCTCAGCGGGACCGGGCCGGGCGGGACGGGAGCAGTGGCCGGGATGAAGGTTCTGGAAGGAATGGCCACCGAGACGTTTCTCCAGGGACTGGACCGGATCAGGGGAAGCCTGCGGGAGGCGGAACGGAGCCAGGGCAAAGCTGGATGGTCCCTAGAGAGCCACCCAGCACTGAATGTCGCTATCCTTCTTGCTGCTCGGCCGGGTGGAGGGGCTCAGGTGATGCTCGTGTGGTGGTGTTGCCTCCCCTCACGAAGGGCCCAGTCCTCGAGCTTTGCCCACCCTGAGCTCCTGATGGAGCTGGTGAAAATGCCGCTCCCAAACCAAAGTTGCCCCCACCATCTCGTGTGTTTTTCCTCTGGCTGTGTTTCTTATTTTCACATTGCTTTTGCTTTATTTTTGTGGTTCATTCAAAAGCTGAGTTCAACAAGAGATGTTGGGGAAAGCCTCAGATGACTTTCTTGCTCCCTTTCTGATACCCAGGCTTCCCCCAGATTGATTTGAGGGGGTGTATGAGTGCTAAGCCTTGATAAAAGCTTTGGGTGAATTGAATTCTCTCTGTTAGGGCAGAGCAGCTCCCTCCCCATTTGTCACTCAGCTGGGCTCGATCTGTAATTGAAAGCTCTTCCCCTAATCTGCTCCACCTGCACGCACCCCTCCCCTGATCTCAGCACTTTGTGAATCCATCAAACTTTCCTCCTTTTGTGTGTGCGCATGTTTTCCTCCTCCTGTTAATAATGCAGCTGAAACTCATCTCCGTCTGTCCGTTCCCCTTCTGGAGAGGCACATTCTCTAGTCTTCACGAGTTCAGTGGCAGCGCACATAATTATGCATATAAGATATAAACAGAGCTGTTTAATTATCCTTCGCCACATCAGTGACAGAGTAATTAACAAACATTGCAAGATCAATGAGGGAAAGTGTGACCTTCAGTTTCCTTTGATAGGAAAGCCCTTGTCGTTCCCAGACACAAGGTGATTGTGCCTGGACTCTGGTTTAGTTTGTTTTAATTCACACCACTCCACCCCACCTCACCATTTGCAGCTTTTATTTGCTATGAAAACTAAAAGGAGGGGAACTTAAATGTAAAAAAAAATGTTCGTAAACTAGAGAAAATGAAGAGGCTGAGGTTTCTCACTGGGGGAAGAGGTTTAAGTAAAATACCTTTGCAGGGCTGTATTGTCAAAGGATTATGCAAAAATGGGTAACTGTTTGGGAAGGAGGGGTAGCTGAAGCCTCATTTATGTCTAAGGCAGGTAATGGCACATGAGGCGTCCAGTTTACATACAGGACCACGCGGGATTTGACTCGCAAACAGACGTGCTGCTGTGTCTTGAGCGTCTGTTTCGAGAACCTTGTTGTAAATGTCATTTGCAACATTTCCCTGAAAGCACAAGAAACATCGCTTGCCTTGGGAAGGACAAAGTTATTTTCCTTTAGTTTTTCTGTCAGTGTTCAGGAAATGAATTTTCAGCTGCTCATCACCAAGTCCTCTCAACACCTGACATTACTGAGTGTGAGCTAAACCTATTCCAGTGAGATTTGGAATTTCCTCTGTCAAAAAGGAGGAATTTTTTTTGTGGGAGTTGGGGGGTTGCAGGAGTCAGATGAAAGGAGAGGAATACAGCTCTGCCCTGCCAGTCAAAGTGGCTTTGGGGGAGTCATCACAGAAACCTTGATTTGAAGATTCTGAGCACCACTTGCTCCCTATGAGAATGGAGGGTACAGGGCTGACAGTGCTGAGCAGTGTTTAAAACTGAGCCCATACTTGCCTCAGCTGGAAACTTCTGTGAAAAGCAGGAGCCACACAGAAAACCCAATCCCACAACTAACAGGCTTTCTTGGTCAGTGGGAAAAGTGATCCTAATTATATGGGGATGAGAAGGGTTCCTGCTTCCCAGGGTCCTGGTGTGTGCACACATTGTCCACTTCTGGGGGTTCAGCTGGTGCCCACATCTTCCACCAGTGCCTCTCGTGGTCTCTTGCCAAATCCTGGCCACCTTTGTGTCCTTCCAGGCTGACATGAAGGCTTGTTGTGCATCAGGCAGAAGTTCACAGAGACTCAGTCAATGTTGGTCAAGCCTCATGCTTTGCAACAAGATGGAGTTTCTTTTCCAGCCTCCCCTGGGAAAAACAGGACTAAGGAGTCGGTGCTCAGTCTTGCCCCTGTGTGCCTCCTCCCTGCTCCACCTGGGAGGCACACTGAGGAGTCACAAAGCTGGTGTCTGTCGGGAGATGGGTGTCAGAAGCTGATCTGGATGTGCAGATACGTTTGTTCATTCATTCAGGCACCCTGTCTTGCCCGCTGACCGGCCCGTGTTTCTCTGTGCACATTTATATATAGCAGAGATTTCTCGGTGCAGTCTCTGACACAGATCCCTTTCCACAATCGCTCACTGACGCACACATACCCTGGCAGATTTTCCTACACATGTTCTTCACTTTGTTACATAGTGGGCTAAAGCAGTCGGAGTAGGAGCTTCCCCCTGTACAAGCTTTTGGATCTGCCTTTCTTTTCTTAGCTTCTTGGCTAAGTCTCTTGGAATATTCATTGGCCCTGTTTTCAACCAGGAGAGTTTTCTCTTCCTAATTTCCTGGGGAGACTTCACTTAGGAGAGCATACACGCCAAGTGCCAGTTTCTTGCTCATCATCCTGTATCCCCCAGATCTACGTATTTTCCCTCCCAAGCAGAATAAAGGACAAAGCCCTGGCTGGGATGTCCCATCCCCCAGTATCCAGACCTTGCACTCCATTTGGGCTGTTTTGCTTTTCCTTCCATATATAGTGTGCTGCTGCAGGCTATTTTTAGCGCCTTTTTTGCTAGCTTCGGATCCTTTGTGATATGATAGCTGCTCTGAGACACACAGATCTCTGCTCTTTGGCAATGCCCACAAATGGAGAGCAGCGACAAGGGGAGAGGGAGCCCTTTATTATCACAGGAAAGGAGAGGAAAATGCAGTGCAGGAAAGGGGGAGGAAAACACAGGGATAATGCTTCCTGTGGCTTCCAGGACTCCTCACAGGCTGTGTTTCCCAACTGTTGTCCTGCTTCATTTTTGTCTGGGGAAATGAGGAGGGTTTTCTGTCAGTTAGGTAATACCAATTACCTCTTCACTGTTGTCTGAAAGTGTATTTGAAGTGAGGTGGCTGAATCTCATACGATCCTTCTGGTGAGCCAGCTCCCTTCTGTAACAGGGTGCTTCCACTGGAGGAGCCTCTGTCCTTCATGTTAGGTGCCTGAGCAATTAAATGCAGGTTGTCTTAACTTCAGGGGATGTGTTGGGCTTGTTGGGCTCATGCTGGATGAGTAGAGCTGCAGTTCCTGGCAGTGAGCGGTGGGAATTGGCCAGAGCATTTGAGAAATGTGGGTGAGGAGAGACTGAGCAACACCAGCGAAGCAGGGAGGGTGTTGTGATCATTGGGAACCAAATCTGAGCAAAGGAAAAGCAGAATTCAGGGGGGGTTTGGAAATTATATCCATGACAGTGAAAGCTGAACTCAGACTTCACAAAGCTCAGAAGAAGTTCTGCACCCTCCCCCTCCTTTTCCCTTTTCCCATAGGCTTGGATTTTGCATCTAACTGTTTACAACAGTTGAGGTATAGCCACATGGTACCAAAGATGGGACACACTGGCTTTCAGGGAAGTGGCTAAAGCTAGCAAAAATCTCATTTAATAGTTTCATTTTGTATCACATCCTCACAGTGGAATTCTTTTTTCCCTTGCAGCTTGACACAGGCTGGCTAGAGTTTTTCTGTGCAGTGCTTGGAAATCAGGGCATTATGAGCAAAGCTGAGGGTTGTTTTGCTGGTCCAAAAAGAAAGGAAAAGCAGAACAGGGAAAGCAAATTGAACAGAAACAGGAAATTGTTAGACCCAGTAGGGATTTCATGGGTTCATTCTCTTTTGTTGGGTCATAGGGTTACACTGAAATGGAAGTGGGAAGAGAAAAAAAAGAGGTGAAGAGGAGAGCTGCTTTAAAGCAGAATTAAATTTTTTAATGTGCTGTGTGAGAAAGACAAAGTTGTCCTTCAGGCAAGTCTTGTTGCTGGACCCAGTGAGGAATGGTTCTGCATTTAACATCCTGGAAGATTAATACCAACCCATGAGGTTGTGCTATGCCCTGAGCCTGACACCGCAGCGGCATTGCCACCCGTTCTGTGACTAACAGGGTGTTTATTCTGGAGTCAGGCATCCCAAATCCCATGCAGAATGCTGGGCTTAAGTGCCTGGAGCTGGAAGGTCATGTTGGGCTAAGCCAGATCCCAGCAGGTGTGGCTTTGTCCCCTGCCTTGCAGGCTCTGGGCGTGCTCTTCACATCGCCTTCCCCCAGAACCACGTACACAGGGAACCAGTGTAGCAGCACTTCTGCTGCAGTAAAACAGCCATTCCAGGCAATCCTGGAGCAGGAATGTGACCTTCATGGTCTTGCCCATTTAGTGCCCGTCACAGGCAGTCTTTTCCTCCATAGAGTCCTGTGAAAACTGATTTGTGGGAGCTGATGGCTATTGAACTTCGACTGCGCTCATTGACAGGCTCTTGCGTGCGCGGAAACGCTCTCGTGTACGTGCCTGCCTGTGCAAGTGGCACCACTGGCTGTCAGATTCCCCACATCTTAGGGATCTTTTGGATCTACTGACCTGTTCTGTGGCAGCGTCTCGGTGCCTTCCTTTTCCACTGTGTTTCAAGGCAGTGTTGCTTTGTTTTGAGTGGGACCCCATGCCCAGAACTTCCCTTCTGCTGCCAGTGTACGTCCCTGTGCTGGCTGCCTGGGAAGGAATGTGCTTGCCCATTACAGCCAGAGCAAGTGTTGAGTAAAGATGATGAGGGAGGTTTGAAGGACTCCTGCACACAGTAAATCTTTACTCTGCAGGAGAATGCAAGAGGGAGAGGAGGAGGAGCACCGTGTCAGACTGAAGCCTAAACGAGGCCAGGCCGGTGCATCAGAGCAGTTTTTATTTCCTCCTTTACACTGATAGTGGGTGACCTCCAGATGTGTGTTCTTCTCATCATGGTGGGCTGCGAAACTGCCTGAGGGAGTAGGGGAGGGAGAGACCCAAAGGACAGCTTTTGCTCATTCTTCCTCCCTGTAATCTGGCCTCATGAGACTAACCCCTTCCCCAACCCATGCTCCAGAACACTGGCTTTCTCCCCCTCCCTGGAGCCCACATCAGGACAACAGCTTTCTCTCCTCAGTCTAAATCCTGATGGAGAGAAGGCTGTTCCTTACCTATTTTTCACCTGTGTGGACTTTCCCCTTTCCTGGTGTTACTGGAAGCTGTTCCTGGCTGCTTGAGAGGCTGCCTGTAGGTTTCCATAGCATTCACTGGACTGTGGCCCTTTTCCACATGTCACGTAGTAGCTGTCCAGTTACAGGGATTGCGAAGGAAGAGAGCAAGCTGAGTGAATGCTTACAAAATTGAAAAGAAAGGGAAGGGAAGGACTGCAGCAGTGATGGGGAACTGATCTGTCTTTGTCTTGCCTTCTCTTCTCCTCTCCTTCCCGCACTCCTCATTATTGCCAGGTTTCTTGTGCACACAGCCTTTGCTGCTCTTCCCCTGCCTTGACTCATCTCCACCTCTGCTGCTTTCCTCCTCTCTGCACTGTTCCATTCTGCCCTCCTCCTGCTCCACCCCATACATTGCCTTGCCCGTCTCCCTTATCCGTTTCACACCATGCTGTCCTGCCTGCTCTCAGCCCTGCTTGCTCTTCACCAACACACACAGCATTTTCACACGGGTTTTCCCCCTTACACATGCTGCCATCTATCCTCTGTGCACCTCCTTCCATACACAAATATACACAAGGACAGATCTGTACAAACCTCGGCATATTGGCATTGGTCTCACTTCCAGTAAAATTACTTTTTCTTCATATTAGGCCAAGGCAAGAGTGCAGAGACATTTATGAAACTTTGTTTAATGTACTGAAAAGCCATCGGCTAGAACATTTAGGAAATTGATTTTCCTGGCATTGATGAACTCTTTTTATTTTACCCCAGTATTAATTACTTTTTTTTTTTAAACAAATTAATTTAAGAGTCATAAAACCTAACAAGTGAGCCAAACGTCAGTAGATCATGTTCCCCTCTCCCCTTCCTCCCCCCCCCACTACTAGTGCTGGTATGGGAGGAGAAGAAAAATCAGTGCCTTGTGTGAGCCTCTCCTCTGGTTTCGCTGCAGGGGAAGCTTCATCACTGCGGGATTACGCCGCCACCACCATGAACGAGTTCCTGGGCATGTTCGGCTACGACGACCAGAACATGCGCGATGAGCTGGCCCGCAAGATCAGCTTCGACAAGCTGAACGCTGCTACCTCAGAGGCCACGGCGGCTGCTGCCTCCCTCCCCGGCGAAGATGCCATGAGCAAGCGAGCCCGCTTCTCCAAGTACGAGGAGTACATCCGCAAGCTGAAAGCTGGAGAGCAGCTCTCGTGGCCCCTGCACCTGGCCAAATCTGAGGAGCTGGGCTCCAAGCTGGGGAAAGAGCCGTCCTCGGTGCTGGCACAGCCCATTCGCGTGCCGGGTCCAGACGCCTCCATGCTGACGGAGACCAAAGCCACTATCCTGCCACTGCCCTCTCCCAGCAGTTCCCAGATGCAGGGCCTGATGTCACGGGCCTCCAAATATGACTTCTTCATTCAAAAGCTGAAGACGGGTGAGAGCATCAGGCCACAAAATGGCAACACTTACAAGAAGGCCTCCAAGTATGACCTGGAAAATGTCAAGTACTTGCACCTTTTCAAGCCTGGGGAAGGAAGCCCAGATATGGGAGGAGCCATCGCCTTCAAGACAGGCAAGGTAGGCCGGCCTTCCAAGTATGATGTGAGGAACATTCAGAAGCTCACTCCAGTAAAAGCTCCAGTCCCCAGCCTGGCCCCTGCTTCCCTCACCAGTACCCCCAGCAGCACTCCTGTGGCCGGGCCAGAGCAGTCCATCTCATTGCCATTCAACACTCCTGAGTACCTGAAATCAACTTTCTCCAAGACAGACTCCATCACAACTGGAACAGTCTCCACAGTAAAGTAAGTGTACTCCCACTTTTCTTATCTAAGTACTAGTGAGGGATCATACCACAAGTCTGTGTGTGGTTCAGTGGGCAATTCCAAGTTCTTGCACTGTTAAATACCGCATTGTTCATGGGATGGTTCTCTTTGCTCTCTGTCAAAGTGCCTGCTCCTCTTTTACGCCTTACATCTGTATTTATCTGGTCTGCACCAAGGCTGTGACCTGCCATCAGCAGTCATAGCCATGAATCTGGAGTCCAAATGCTCCTGAGTTCATATGAAAGAGGAGGGAACATGGTGCTGTCAGCACTCTTAAGGTCAAGGTTGGAACTACTTTATTTTCTTCTCCCTCTGGTTTCCCAGGCATCTGGATGTGTGATTCTTGTTTCCATTTAACTCAAAGGCATGACTCTGCTGACTTTACTGTTAGCAAGATGAGGCTTTTTGTTTGTCCCAGAACTCAGAAGACATTTTGGTGCCTAATTCCCATCAATTTCCATAGGAGTTAGGCATATACCTACTTCTGTGGGGCCAGGCCTGTGTCTTCTCAATTTGCTTACACAAATAGAGGTGATTCAATTACCCCTCAGACTGGGCAAACTCATTAGCCCAATTACCACTAATAACCTCCTGCACATACATTGCCAGCAGTCTCTGCAGTGATACCATTGACGGAATGGAGGTATCTGAAGGCCTTGCCAAAGCTTGGATTACTTTTTAATGTGCCTTCCAGAGGTGGGAGCTGTAGAAGAGATACGTATGTACGTCAGGCTGCAGCAGGGAGGAAGGGAGAGACTTCTCCGCTTTCTTGTCATGGTTTGGGTTTACTTGTTTCTCACCCACTTTCCCTGATTCCCCACATGGAAGGCAGAGCCATGCCATGATACCTGTCTTCCACGTGAAATGGTTGTTCTATCAACTGCCTACAGGCAGATGGGGAGCTCCATGGTGAAGGTGTGTGGGAAAGGATAGAGGATTATTAACATCTGCATCTGCTCAGGACGCTCAGGGTCTGCTCAGGGTCCTGCTCAGGATGAACCTGTATGTGCTACAGATGACAGGCAGGGACTCCTATTACTTAAAAACACAGTGATGTAAATATTCCTGTAGACTCAGTGCCCTGTTGTGACAGGTGACTTGGTCCAAGACTCTGTGCCTGCAGTGTCTTGAGAACACTCAGCTGCCTGGGGCTCAGTCGCCATCCTAGAGCTGTGCCTAAGGGCACAAGCAAGATAAGCAAGCTTCTTATCTGCTGTGGTGTTGCATGGGATCCCAGTTTGTTTCCCTTTCTCTTGCTTGTGTCCTGCCTCTTGCCAGATGTGGGTTTGCCAGCACCATGGTGAGCCTTCCGCTGGCCACAGGACTTCCTCAACCAGGACATCATGATGGGACTGCAGCTGGAATGGAGGTGACCATGGCCTTCAACCTGGCACTTCCAGTGTCCTGATCACACACTGCAGTACAGAATGGGCTCTGGCCCCTTCTCCTTCAGACTACTCTCTAGATAGAAGCTTCCATGATAAAAGGCAGCAGCCCATTAACTGTGCTGGTGAAGGAAGTGCTGGCTGTGATATCTGGGCTGTGGCTTCCCATTCCCCGTCCCCACTGGGTTCAGTAGCCTGGCAGGAATTACCCTTTACTCTCACACATCTGCACATACACCCTTGCCATGGGTTTAAACTCTCTTAGATCCAATGCCATTGACCTGCCCTGAACTCGTCTACCTTCACGTGAGCTCTGTGTGAAAGTGTCCTTGTTTAAACCAGGGTGCAGAGCTGCCAGGAGGCAGAGTGGAGGTTGGGCACAGGCAAAGCACACAAAGAAGATGGTGTGCAGCCTGTCTGGAGGTGCACTGGGGTGGCCCTATGTCTTGGGGCTGGAGTCTGGCCCTGCATCTCATTTTCCCTCTTCCTGAACTCACTAAGGATGTTATTTTTATCTGCTTCCTAACAAAGTAAAATAATCCAGGCTTATGTGACACTTATGGGGTGTTTTTCTCATTGATTAAAATACAGAATCTGTCTGTTAGAGTTTTGGGCTATCTATGAAACAAAGAGGCATTTTAAGCCCCATCCAGGGGCTGGAGCCACTGTTCCAGTGCTGGTGACAGAGCAGAAGGGCTGCTGGCCACAGGGAAATGGGCAATAGCTCACAACGTGGCTGGCAGAGATACTCTTCTGCAGGTGAGCCAGGGGCAAAGCTCCCGTGCACACAAGGGCAGCACTGCCAGGTGCCTCAGAGAGGTGTTTGCATGTGGCCATCACTTTTTTGCATTTTTCTGTAGAAACAGAAAAATTTTTGTGGTTGGTCTTCTCAGTTTCTCCAACAAACTGCTCTGAGTCCTGCAGAGAGGGGACATGCAGGAAGGGTGGTAGACAGCCTGTGTGTTTCCCTGGGAAAAGAAGGTACAGGATTTGAAGGGCAAAGGGGAGGGAATTTAAACTTATGGGTGTCTTTGCTGGTACCCTTCCCTGGGCCCTCTCTCCTGATCTGTCAGTAGTGTGTGAGAGAAACAAGGAGTTTAAGCTGTGCCCTGTTCCTGCTAACCAGCTCTGCCCTGTGTGTCTCCCATTAGGAATGGATTACCCACTGACAAACCAGCCGTCAGCGAAGATGTAAATATTTACCAGAAGTATATTGCCAGGTAGGCAAAACTTTTGACTTTGCTGGGGAGAGGGCTGGGAGTAAGAAGATGGAGTGGTGGTGGGAGAGACGAGGTCTTGTGTGGATCAAGTGTTTAAACCAGACATTGGCACTTCCATTTCCCGTGGCATCTGTACTTGCTCTGTCCCCCTGCTTGGGAGAGCAGTAGCTCTGAGAGGTATGCAGTCACGCCAAGAGCATGCTTAGCTGCCTGGAGCTGTTAGACTTTGTGACAAATAGTGGAAAACTGCTTCACTGAAGAAGCCCAGGATTTAAATGGGAGTTCTGCCTCTTGGCTGTTGTTCTTTCTGTCCTCTGCCTTTTTCCTCTGCCATGTCTGCAGGAGGCAAGCAGAGATCATCTCAGCTCTGAGAATCTAGGCTAGAGAGACTTACAGGTGACTTGAGTTTAGGGAACTCTTGGCATCAACATGGGATGTTTATCCTAGAAAATTTTTGCAGCTCATTTCTCTGAGAAACCCTCACTGAATCAGGTGCAGAGTAGGGCACCTTATCACAGCTGTGGGCATGCTTAGGTCAGGACAGTGATGCTGAGAGGAAGCCCAAGGCTGTTGTGGTGGGACAAAGTGAGTAATGCCACAAGAGCCAGAGGGACAGAGGAGATGATTGCAAAACACCTTCCTGGTTTAGAACTCATGGCATAAAGGGTCCATCAGGCTTTGCCCCCAGCCAGTTGAATCCTCCCTCAGTAATGTGAGAAGGCTCCCAACAAAAGCCCCTTGTATCCAGACGGACACGAGGGAAGCAAGCAAACTCTTCTCTCCAGGGAAAAAACGGGAGGGTTTGCTCCCAGCACTTGGGCACTTATTAATGAAAGGGGAAGGGAGTGTGTACTGTGCTTTCCCACCTTACCAGAGCCAGAGAGAATCTCCTTGTGGGAGACAGTCAGCTGCTAGGAAAGTAAAGGGAACATTTTGGCAGGGAAAAAGAGTGGGAACAGCACTCTCCTAGCTCAAGAGTGGAACGACAAATGGCATAATCTCCTCCCTTCTGCCCAAATCCCAGATGTAGGAGAAGGGGGCAGAAAACCCCATGGGAAGAGAGGACAGTTGTGCTACCACAGGCAGCTCCTCTAGCAGCAATGCCTCAAGTGCATGTGGGAATTCACTGCCTCGAGGGACAGTACAGTATACAGAATATAGGAAGGAAAGCAGGGATTTAAACCACTCTTTGCATGGGGCAGGAGCAGCAAGCATCCTTTTATTTCTGAGATTGCAGGAATTGTAGGAATTGCAGTGGGAGAGGAGGTGGCACCTTTCTGTCCCCCATTCCCCTCTCAAGTAGGGAACTGTAAACACTTCAGCCCCATCCACTGCTTCTGGAGCTGTGCAAGCCCCTTTCCCTGGGTCAGGCAGGTCGCTGAGAGAGGATTGTGAGCTACCTCAGGGACACCACATCCTGCTTAAAAGGCTCCGCAAGCCGCCCGTTGCCAGCACAGCCACTTCCCTTCAATTTACACACATCGAAAAAAACAGTTTAAAGCCTTAAAATCAAGGGGTGGGGGGAGAAGAGACACAGCACTCTTATGTCTGTACTGCATAATTAGCTTAATGAGTTTGCCAAAGCCACTGCCAAAAGCTGCCCAGGGATAATCCATTCTCTCACACAACAAAACAAAACCTCTTACTTAGCTAGTTTGGGTTGGGTTGTTTTTCCCCCTCCTCCTCCCTGTATATTTATAATTAAAAAAAAAAAAAAGACCACAGAAAAAATTATTATTATTATTATTAGTGCCTCAGCAGATGGTGCTTCTGGCAGCACTTGCTTAAATATTTATTTCTGTGTGGGTTTCCTCCCCCCTTGTAATTGGGGTGGGTTTTTTTTTTCCTCTTTCACATCATCGTTACAGAGTAATGAGTCTGTAAACACTCTCTAAGCATGCTGACTTCTTTATTTATTATTTTTATTATTATTTATTTATCAACTCTTGCCAGATCAAGACTTTCTGGTCAAAGAAAAAAAAAGGTGAACCGATTAATGTAAAGGAAGAGGGAGTGAGTTGTTCTTGTGCAATTGCATCTGCATGTCTGTATTGACAACTTAGGAGTTTGGATTTGTATTTCAGTGTGAGGAGCTGGTCTGTGAGTTTCTTGTTTCAGGTGTGTGTGTTTGTGTCTGTTCATGTGCATAGAAACTGGGTATGTTTGAGTAAGTTCAGTGGTGTGGATGTACTGTAGAGTGTGTGCATATAAACGTGCTTGTGTGTATGTGTGTAAGTGTGTGGTGTGTAAGCTTTCCTGTTATGAAAAACCTAAACAGATGCTGCGCTTTAAAAATTAATAGCTTTGAACTGTTTCAAGTGTCAGAAGAAACACAGGATAATATAACCCTTTAGGAGCCCAACCTTGCACACTGAAGGAGCAGAATTTCCCCTTTGTGTGCTGGGTTTGCCACTTCCCTCCTTCCCCCAGCACACGGCTTGGTGGAACACTTGTTTCTCCCTTCCTGTGCTGTAGACACCACACACACCTTTCCGTGGCACATGGTAAGGAGGGTAGGAGTTGGAAGTGCTGGAGTGCTTGTTTAGTTGTTGTTTTTAAAACCAAGCCCATGAGTTATTTCTGCTAGGGTGCTTCAAGTAACTCCTCTCCTGGAGTCAGATCTTGTTGATGTCTGGCCCTTCTTTTACTTCTTTTACTGGTATCTCTGGTCACTTTGCATCCTCATTATTGATAATAATTTGAACTGCTTTGTATTTGTCAGCAAGGTCTGATTCATCCTCTTCTCTCTGCCTGGCCTGCACCGCACAGGTCTCCAGCCCTGCACAGCCCTTTGCTCTTTTTTCCCCACCACATCAGTGGAATGGAGAGGAAGCTTCCCACAGGGCATTCCTTTCCTTGAAGAGGTGGTGCTGCTGACATAAAGCCCTGGCCTGGCAGGACCAGTTGGTTGCTGTGCTGTGGAGCCACACATCCCTGGTCAGTGCCATGGTGGCTCTGGCAGCTGCCCTGGACAAGCCTAGCAGTTGCCCAGGCATTGAGCAGGAATCTCTCCCTCTGCTCTCAGTTCCACACCTTTGTTTGTGCAGCCAGCCCTGCTGTTTGCTTTGTGGTTTGTTTCTTCTCTGCTGCTGAGGTTTGTTCCAGTTTCTCAATCACCTGTTCTGACGTGATCCTGATTTCCTGCAGTATTTCTTCTCCTTCCCCAGGGAAAGGCATGTCTGCTCCTGGCATCTGTCCCTGTCTCCCTTTGTGAATGCTGAGGCAAAGAAGTCATTTAATTTTTTAGCAATGTCTATCTTTTCTGTCAATTAAGTCCCCTTTCCATCTCCTAGAGGCCCTGCTGTCTCCACAGTTGACCTCCTCTTCCTTACTGTGCTTCAGAAATGGCTTATTTAGTATTGCTTTTCATCTAGACTTTTTCTACCCCATAGCCTCGTGTTACCTCACCTTACTATGATCTGTAATTTTCCCTGCTCCTGCCCCATTCCTCAATTGCCCCAGGACACCCTCACTTCTCTCATTTTCCTTTTTTATCTGGTGCCCTTCCTCATTTCTTTCCCATGCCCTTTATCATAGGCACTCCTGCTGTGTTTAGCACTTAAGTGACGTGAGGAACCTTTGAGGAACCTTTGAGCAGATGGTACTTTATCTTTGAATGTTTCCCCTCTGAGTCCCCTTCTCTCCACTGCTTTTCCCTTTCAAGCTCTTCTAGGGTCCTCTAGAATATACACAAGGGAGTTCATTGCACTGATTACCCCATTACTGGATCATCCCCTTGTGCCAATTCCTGGTGTGTCTGTAGTCAATAAATTCTGCATACTGACTGTTTGTATGTAGGTATTACACGGCATTTCTGTCTTTCTGGTCTTTTTTGCTACCCTGTATGTCAGGAGTTTTCAGCTTGGCCGTATGCAGCTTTTCTGATATCCTACTAGGTGGGCTTATACTTAAAATTTAGAATCCATATTTGCCTAACACTTACTTGTCTCCTTCTGTCATGGGAGAAACTTGCTGGTGGGGTATCTAAACTCTATTCTAGAATTGTGTGGTGTTTAGCTCTAGGAACCCTCCTTCCGTATGCTTCCCCAAGTAAACAACTTAGATAACGGAGATGAATTTCGAGGGGAAAGACAGATTAGGGATGTACAGGACCTGCGTGATCCGGCTCAAGAAGCACCCTTAAATAGTGACAAATAAGCAGGGGAAGGCACAAGGGTCACCATCCTTGGAGGGGATAAAGGAGGTGGGGTTTAATGCCATAACCATGTGAGATGAAAGCAGCAACAGGACTTGGTTTATTTGTACCTTGCTGCCAGGACAGTGGCTTATTGTCTCTCCCTCTCTCCTGTTTGCAGGTTCTCTGGCAGTCAGCACTGTGGACACATACACTGCGCCTACCAGTACAGAGAGCATTACCACTGCCTCGACCCCGAGTGCAACTACCAGGTAGAGCAGCAGAACGGACGGGGGAGCGTCTCCTCCTGTGCTTGCCTCTCACGTGCATGCACGTGCCTTTGCACTGTGCTGCTCTGAAAGAGGACAGGATATGTTCTGAATTTAACAGAACTTTATTTTGCTCCCGTTTAACTCGATCTAATACCGTTTAACCAAACTCAGACCGCTACAATGAGGAGCTGAATATAGATCAGCTCAAGTCAGTGGGAGCTACTCCACATTTATATCAGTGAAACACCAGGAGCATAAATTGTGCTATGTGACAAACTGTGCCTGAAACTAGGGAATGCTGATCTGTTAGTCTGTCTCTTTCCCTCCTGCTGCCCGAGTGACTTTGTAGCAGCAGTATCTGCAACAAAACACCCAGTAAGACCAGCAGCGGTGTGGGATTTGTGGGGAAGGCACAGGGGTAGGAGTGATGCTGTAATTGCTGGGAGAATTGCCAGGGTATGCACGTCAAGCCAGCAGGTCACGTGCTGTGTTTGTTTACCCTTATCCCAGGTCCAGAGTTTGACACTGGCATTTCTGTGGTCAGGCTGATGCGTGAGCAGGAATCCCAGAGTTTGCCTCTGCCGTGCAGCAGACACAGCTTCAGCCCTGCCCTCGGAGACCTTTGGGTCTCATGGGGATGAGCCTGACCACAGCAGAGGAAGCAGATCTGGAGCTGCTGGGCTTGGCTGTGGGTTTCTATTGATCAAAGGAGAGTTTCTCTCCAGGATGCACTTACTGGTCCTTGCAGCCCAGCATCGAGTAATCAAGATGAGTCTATCCCAACTGTGACACAGATATCCCTGCACCAGAAAGAGAGAAACACAAAGGATGGAAAAACAGAAAAACCTATTATTATGATTGGCCTCATGATTATTTCCTAAGGAGTCTGGAAGCTGCTTGCAAAGGAGCTGTCTGGTCTCGCAGGGAATAAGGATTTAGGCTGCTTTTTAAAATGCAAATTATTTTATGGCTGAGATATATTTTAGAATAAGTAACGCTTTGTAATAAGTGGGCACAAATTAACAATGATTGGCAATAGCAATCCTGTATGTACGCCCTGGGAAATCATGGCTCCAGCCTCCGAGGGATTTCTGTTGAAATCTATATCCATATATTCCTGTGCCAATACCAATGAGATTGATCAGGATTGATATTATAGAAGGAAAGAGTGGAAGTGATAATCATTTGTTTCCTATGAGGCAGACTAGAAAAGTTGTTAAACATTAGAATACAGGCCTTTTCAATTACTGCTCAAAATAAATGGATATTGATTTCTTTTAAAAAAATCAGATTTACTTTCTCACCTTCAGTGGTAAATATTGATGTCTGTGGGAAATAGAAATAAAAAGCTTCATTTTAAAGGCACTTAGCCTCCTCTGACAGTGGGGTACCCCTTCATCGCTTCTAGCAGGTAGAGATTGAAAAGGATATTCTGGTCATACAGATTTAGCTCTGACCTCTATTTTTCTGTAGAAAAGCATCTTTTTCTGTGACTTGAGGAGAGTCTTATGTCCCTGTTTTCCTGATAAAACTATCCTACCTTCTAGGGGATGCAAGAGACTTAGAGTGGGAGGACAGTGTAAAAGAGCAAAGGGTTTTTCCCGATTTCTAGCCCGACATGAATGTGGCAGCCAGTGTCTTGCTAACCACTACAGTGAGTGACTTGGAAGCTTGGCTTAGTTGCTTGTAGGCTGTTCAGTTCACTGGTTTGCTTTCTAACTATAGCACTTCTTGAGATAGTAGCAGCTAAAATTATGTTAGAAGACCTGCAATCTTAAAGCTGCAGGGAGCAGATTCTGGGCATCACCCCAGTGTCATGTTTACTCTAGAACTTGTGTATTTACTTTCCCTTTACCAAGAAGATACATGCACACAAACTCCTCTTTAATCTGATTCTCTTGGGGTGATTACTGCCAAGCTTTCAACTCCTGGTCCCATAAGTTTATTAACAACAACAAAAGACACCCACCCTGCCCCCAGGATTCCTCACCCACTGGCATCATGCGTGTCTCTCTGTCTGTGTCTGTGTCTCTGCAGAGATTCACCAGTAAACAGGATGTGATTCGGCATTACAACATGCACAAGAAACGTGATAACTCCCTGCAGCATGGCTTCATGCGCTTCAGCCCCCTGGACGACTGCAGCGTGTACTACCACGGCTGCCACCTCAACGGGAAGAGCACTCACTACCACTGCATGCAGGTGAGTGTGCTGCTGCATGCAGGGGAGTGTGCCAGTGCATGCAGGGGAGTGTGTCAGTGCATGCAGGCAAGTGAGCCAGTGAATGCAGGGGAGTGTGCCAGTGCATGCAGGGGAGTGAGCCAGTGCATGCAGGAGAGTGTGCCAGTGCATGCAGGGGAGTGTGCCAGTGCATGCAGGCAAGTGAGCCAGTGCATGCAGGGGAGTGTGCCAGTGCATGCAGGGGAGTGTGCCAGTGCATGCAGGGGAGTGTGCCAGTGCATGCAGGGGAGTGTGCCAGTGCATGCAGGCGAGTGTGCCACTGCATGCAGGTGAGTGTGCCACTGCATGCAGGCGAGTGTGCCAGTGCATGCACTGAGCGCAGGAGCCGCTCCTCGGGGCTCTGTGAGCATTCCCGAGTCCTGGCCACCCAACACTCTCCTGTCAGAGAGCACGGGGCTGTCCTGAGGCAGAGGGGGGACATGCAGAGCCTGTCCTGCTCCCTTCTGGTTCGGGAGCCTCGTTGACAAGTCTGTGCCCTGTCCTTACTGCACTTGTGCCGAGCGTTGGGAATGGCAAAGGGAAGCCCCATTCTCAGGTTTTAGAAGCCTTGTCCATGCAGTGAGGCAAAGCAGGTCTCAAGGTTTTCTCAAAGTCTTGGACTTATTGAAGCCAGTCCCATTCTCTGAGACTCAGGGGCTTCTTTAATGCCACTGCACTGTCTCTACTCAAATCTGATCTGTCCCTCCCTTGAAACCAGACTTTCTTGTGGCACATCTACCCTTTAGCACTGGGTTAATTTCCTCCATAATCAATTTCTAAAATAATTAAACCTTAAAGTCACATATCTGCACTTAACACCCCAGGTTCTCCATGTCCTTTGCCGGTGGCACTCGTGTGTGGTGTAGGCTGAGAGCCATGTGTAAGGGCCAGCCAAGCTTCAGCAGCAGTGTAGCCAGAGCTGGAGCTGCTGCACAGGTGTCACTGTGATGCCTTCACTGTTTTAGACAAGAACACACCACATTGTTTGGGTCTTACCCTGATCATTCCTCAGGTTCAAAGGTTTGATGTGTACTCATTTTAGTAGAATTGTGGCCTAAACCATTGCCCTGAAAATGTGCAGTTACAAGCAGAGTGATCAGCCAACCCTTGGTGCCAGATTTTCTCGTCTGAAAAGTCAAGCTCACTTCCTGACCTGTCCCAGCAGTTTAAGACCCCAGTTAAAGTCACAAGGCCTTAATCACATGCTTAAATGCTTTGCTAGGATAGACTTCAGCATATGTTTAACTTGAAGCTTTCTGAAGTCAATGGGGCTTAAGCACATACTTAAATGTTAGGCATGCACTCAAGTTCTGTCCTGAATAGGGACTGGTTGAAGCATGTGCTTGCAGCATTTGATAAATTGGGAATTTCATGTGTCTTTCTCTTGAGGACATTTTCTGTTACCACTTCCATAATATTGACTATTTAGTTTCTTCAGTTGGGCAGGGTGGGATTTACTTGATTTTTTTTTTTAGAGTACAAGGAGTGCTTCACAGCGTTAAGCCACTCCAAGTTCAAATAGAGACCCTCGCTTACACAGCTATATATGGCTAATTCCATCCTGTGCCCACTGTCTTCCAGTAAAGTCATGCCCATGTAAGCAGTGCCTTACAGGAAAGGTGTCAGAATATAAACTCCCAATTAAAGAAAATACTGCTTAAATGGCAGAATTTGTGCCATCCATCACATGGGGTTTTTTTCTTTATGTCCATAATTGGTGTGGATAAAATTCAGTTAGTTGTTTATATAAACTGACATTTTTTTAGGCTTTCGCACCAAGAGCTGCATTGCAAATTATTCCTAAGGACGCTTTTGTTTAATTCTTTTTTTTAATGCCATGCAGGGCCTGTCTTTTTTCAAGGTGTCAGTGTGGAGAGAGAGAGGCTCTTTTATATTGGAAATAGCTGGAGATCCTTTTTATTTTTTTCTCTGGGTATTTGTCATGGGTTTTGTTATTGCCTGTTTGAATCAACCTGGGCTGAACTAAGGGGTGGTGTTTTCCTTCTCTTCATTTCTGAGATGGTGCAGGCATTGGCACATGTTGTGCTAGAAGAAAAGGAAAAAAATCCTCCCTCAGCAGGGCTGAGGACGTTTTCAGATTCCAGTGGGTTTTTACTCAATATGGCAAAGTTGCCCCGCTTTACCCAGAGGAAAGCAGGTTTTCAGCATTCCGTCCTCATCACAGCATTCCCATTCGCTGCACAAGTTTAAAATTATTGAAGTGGGAGTCTTGAACAGTGACAGGGAAAAAAAGTCACCAGTTTGCTAAAATCAGCTGAACATGGGGTTTAAGATTTGCTAGAATGAAACCGTTTATGACAAGCTCGAAAGACTGGTTGGCCTCATGTTGCATCAGCATGCCTTACCTCCCAGAAGGACTGGAGAAGTAAATAACTTATTCCCACTCAATTTTGTATTCCCCAAATAGATGAAATCCTACTTTGTCCTGTGTCACTCCAAGATAACAAAAAGCAACAGCATCTCTTAGTGTTCTGTTCTCTTTAAGAGCAGGAGCCCTACTAGCTGCTTCCCCAAGCAGGCATGATTATCTGGAGCTGGTATTTTATCCCTCCAGTCCTCCCTTTTTTTCTCACTGGTTCATGCCCAGAGAGTTGGTTTGTATTTGTTTTTTTTTTCCACAACTGCTCTATGCTCTATCAGTCTTTAGATTGGGAATTAAAGTGATGACTTAATACCCCTAGGAGAAGCACACAAATGGAACTATTAAATGTACGTTTGCTACTCATGTATTTATTGCTGCTGGTAATAATGTCAGGCTGTTAAACCACTGTGCTGATGACTCCTCTTTGGGCCCGGGGTAGGTGGGCTGTAACAAGGTCTATACAAGCACCTCTGATGTGATGACCCACGAGAACTTCCACAAGAAGAACACGCAGCTCATCAACGACGGGTTCCAGCGGTTCCGTGCCACGGAGGACTGCGGCACCGTGGAATGCCAGTTCTACGGGCAGAAAACCACTCACTTCCATTGCAGGTGAGACAGCAGGGAAGGGGAGGAGTCCTGCCTCTGAGCTCTGTGGTCTGTTTGCCTCCTTCTGCCAAGTCATAATTTCAGGAGGATGCACAGGGACTTGATTTGCCCTGCTGTGACCTTCTCAGTATTGCTTCTGGGAGAACTCGTGTAACAGAGTAGATGTGAATTCCAGGATTGTGCCACAGACCACTCTGAAGGCAGGAGTGTGATCTGAGGAGAGGATACCCACTGGAAAACAGAGCCAAGAATAATTTGGGAAAGAGACCACAGTGCTCTTCAGAGTGCAATTGTAGTCCATTAATACTGCTAATGGCACTTCCATGGTAGGGTTCTCTCCAGGCAGCTCATCCCTTTTGGGGCCAGACGTAGCCTTCTGTACACAACTGCTCTTCTCTTGATTTCTTAGGTTTTCAGGAAGAGTAGGAAAGCACAGTTTGTACCTTAGTCCCTTTTACCAGCCGTTTTGTTGGAACTTTTAGTGGAGGGTGCCTGTATTCCCATGTTCTGTGGTAGTTCCACAGAGTGGAGTGAGCTTCCCAGCCCTCCCACATGGCCGCAAATCTGCTGGCCTGGGTGTCCCAGGTTAACCCAGAGGCAGCTCCTCAGCCCCTCTGCAGCTGGGGCAGTTGTCTCATTGCAGCCCCAGCCCTTGTCCTAGAGGGAGGTGGGAGGCAGCAGCTCTGCCATCACAGCCAACCACCCTCTCCTCGATGCCCTTGCAGGAGACCCGGCTGTACATTCACCTTCAAGAACAAGTGTGACATTGAGAAGCACAAGAGCTACCACATCAAAGATGATGCCTATGCCAAGGATGGCTTCAAGAAGTTCTACAAGTACGAGGAATGCAAGTATGAGGGCTGTGTCTACAGCAAGGCCACCAACCACTTCCACTGCATAAGGGCAGGCTGTGGTTTCACCTTCACCTCCACCAGCCAGATGACTTCCCATAAACGCAAACACGAGCGCCGGCACATCCGGAGCTCAGGAGTGCTGGGCCTGCCTGCCTCACTCCTGGGCCCCAAGGATAACGAGCAAGAGGAGTCCAGTAACGATGACCTCATTGACTTCTCCGCCATGAGCTCCAAGAACTCCAGCCTGAGTGCCTCCCCGACCAGTCAGCAGTCTTCCGTTTCTCTCATCGTCCCAGCTGCGCCCTCCTCTGCGGCTGAGCTTGCTTCCTCACAGGCCGCCAAGTCTGCCAACAGCATGACACCAGCCACAAAGATCTCTGGCCTGCTTTCCCAGGCTCTTCCTAGCAATATACCCTTGGCCCTGGCACTCTCCAACTCAGCACTTCCTGGAACAGCTGGATCCTTCTTCCCCATCATCCCCAGTCGGGTCTCTACACCACTTCCTGCCACCTCGGCTAATCTGATGACTGCTGGTTCTTCTGGCAGCAATCCAGCATCATCTGCTCCTACAGATTCCTCATCCCAGGCAGTTTCAGGATCTGGTGAGCCAGTGGCTACTTCTTCTCCTGCTCCAGCAGCCTCTATAATGGAAAGGATCTCTGCTAGCAAGGGATTAATCTCTCCTATGATGGCCAGGCTGGCAGCAGCTGCACTCAAGCCCTCTGTGGCACTTGAAGCAGGTGAGTTACCTCATCAGTTGTGATGGTCAAGGGAGGCAGAGCAGGGCCTGGTGACTTGGAGGAGAGTGAATGAGAAGCCACCCAGTTGTCCGTGGGACTGCAGTTGGGAAGGGGGTAGAAAAAGAAAATAAATGGGAGAATGAATTTGGTTGGGTCTAATTAACCCTTGAGGAAGGCAGTCTTGGCAAGGTTTCCTGTGGAGCCTGGCTACGCCCACATGGCCAGAAGAGAGGCAAGAAACATTTCTGCCCATGAAGGGAGGAGGCTCTTACCAGATCTGAAGAGTGTTGCCGTGTGTAATTTGTTGTGGGCTGAAAAGAGAGAGGCGCTCTATTGAAAATAGAAATGAAGAAAAAATACCTTAGCCAGTACTTGCAGGCTCTACTGAGACTGTGTTGAGCGTTAGCTAGGCCTGGTGTTGATGGTCCTGTAGCCCATGGCCAGTTGTTTTCCTGATCTGGGGGCTGTTCTGTGCTTCAGCTTTGTAGTCCCAGCTGTGGGTTTGGGGCTAGCATTGGGACAGTCCTTTGTGGGCAGTTCTTGCCGGCTGTGCCCTCTCCCCGCGCTGCGTGAGCGGGAGAAGATGGGACGGGGCAGCCCTGGGGCAGCCCAGCGCTCTTCCTGCTGCCAGGTCACAGCTCATTCCGGCACTGCCAGGTGGATGAGGGCTCCCAGGAGGGCACGGGCTGAGCCTGGCAGCGCCCGTGGCACTGGGCTGAGCCCGGCCCTGCCCTGGCAGCGCTGCTGACGGCCCCGGCAGCCCAGGAGGAACGGGGGAGTAGAGGGAAGTGATCTGATGAAAGAGGGAGGGGAACCTTCACATACTTTTAAAATTATTGTTTGAAAAACTGTTTCCTAAAGCAGAGAAAGGTCATTGAGGGAACTATTTTCCTTTATTTTTTAATAAAATGCCACTTGCTGTCTGAGAAGCAGCTCGCCGTCAGCTGTACTGCCGGAGGGTAAATTAATATTTTAGTCACTTGGGGATTGTGGAAAAAAGCTCTGCAGACATGTTTCTGTCAGCAACTTTTTTTCCCTCCTTTTTTCTTTGCCGTTTCTCCTAATTTTTTTGCTTCAATTTGTTCTCTCTCGTCCCTACCCCCTCCTCTTTTCCTCTCCTCCTTTAATTTGAATTCTTCTTTCATGGGCTCCGCACTACGCCTGCTCCCCAAAAAGCAGCGTTCTGTGGGGCGGTGGCAGGAGGTCGCGGCGGTCCCGTCGCTGTCACCTTGCATCGTCCCGGCGGGGCAGATGCTCCTGCTGGGCAGGCGCGGTGCCGGGCCAGCGCTGTCGCTACGGCAACGCTGGGACCGGGGACGAGCAAGGGGGCTTGACTAGCAGTCGAAAGCTGCCACATTGCCTCAGCATTAACAGAGTCTTTAATAAACGCTTAAGAGGCAGCCCCGCAAATTAGTTATGACAGTTTGTGCAGAGAATCAGGTCTCCCCCACGCTCCTTCCGCCCTTCTCCTTTAAAGGGCCCGTAGCCTGGACAACTTTGACATAATTTTGCAATAATTATCACTTGAAGAATTTCCACGCTGGAGTGGACGTCAGAACCCATCATGTCAACTTGGCAATAAACGCTGACCAGCAATCCCAGTACTTCCCTCCCCCCAACACTTTTTCTTTGCTTTTTCCACTTAGGCACTGATGCCAATGATTTAACTTACTTATTTGCTGTTGTAACCTCGTTTTAGACCGATGTTTTTAATTGTTTTTTTGCACTTCATTTCGCTGTATTTCTCGAGCAGGTAATGGACAAGCAGCCCCTCCCGGACGGTTCAATCCAGTGCAGGTGAAGCAGGAGCCCGTGGAGGCCGTGGGACCGACATCGGCCCCCAGTCAGGACCCCTTGCAGGAGCACAGCTTGGACCTGAGTGTCAAGGACCACGGGTGAGAGAAGTGGGCAGGCAGGAGCACTCAACACTTGCCAGCATCAGGCTTTGGGAAGTTTCTGTACCTGTGATTCAGGAGGGCACAGCATGTTGGTGAAGGCAGCTTCACAGTGGTGGAGTTGAACACCCCAAAACTGAGGCAGGCAGGCTCACTCTGCTCCCCATTCTCCAGGTGTTTTTTTGGGCTCACAGGCACCTGCTGGCTCTTCAACAAGAGCTTCACTTCTTCTGCTCCCTCGTGAAAACCGAGCCACTGGCAGAGCTGTTTTCTTGTGTTTAGTCCTCTTGTGAGTTGCTGACTGAAACTGCTCCACTGCCACACCTCAGCACACTCTTAGCAGCAGCATTTGCACTGCTGTAGTCTGTCGAATCAGGGCTAAGGGAAGCACATTCCAGAGAATGTGGGCACACAAAACAGCTGGGTGTCAGGCTCACTCTGCTCCGGGTCTGGGATATGCTTGTGCAGGTGTGAATGCACCTATCTCAAAGCGTGTGTCCCACCTGCCCAGCATCTCTGCTGAGAGCAGGGGTGTTTGGGGATTGTGCTGTGTGGAAAAAGAGCAGAGGAACTGATCCTGGGGATAAGTGAGCTCCACTTTGACCTTTGTATCCATTCCTGTCCGTACCTCCCTTAAGCAAGCCTCCCTTTGGGAGTCCAGCACTTGGAGCCAGCTGCAGAGATCCTAAGGCTGCCTTTCAGGGCAGGATTGTGCCTTGCCTCCCTTACTGCCCAGGGGATCCCTGCCCCTGGCAGCATGAGCCTTTGTCAACATCCCCCCTGCTTTTGTGGTATTTTTGTGATGTTTCTGAAAATTCTAATGGGATGAAAGGGTAAAACCTGAGGGAGGTCATGAGTAACAAATGAAGTGTGATGGAGCGGGCACCGGGGGAAGAGGTCCGGGCCATTTCATAGTTGAAAGATGTAAATTCTGCAGACCTGAGACCCTCTTTCTGTCCCTCTTGGCTGTCACAAGTAGGCGAGTTTGGCCTGCCCAGGGGAGGGTTGGCATCATTCTTTTCCCCTGGATGTAGTAGGTGAGGAGTGGGGCAGCCTGAAGGGAGAAGGATTAATCTCAGCGCTCACAGTCCCTGTGCACATCTTAACTAAACCCTGTTGGTTTGTGTGTTTCAGTAATGAATCAAATGGCCACACAGTCTCAGCAAATTCATCTCTTTTATCCTCGCTTATGAATAAGGTAAGAGCCATCCATCAAACGCCTTTCATTCCCCCCACCAAGAGAAATTAAAGCTGCGATAGCGGGGAAGGGGGGGAAGAGATGCGTTTGTTTTTTAATGTTTTGCCTCTAATAAGATGAGTTTGTACCATTTAAATTTTGAGACCATTTTTCATCGGGTATAATTTCAGAGCCACTGCTTACGAATTAATTTAATGAACTGGCTGAAGAAATATATTGCCGCCTCTGACACCTTTTTTTTCCCCATCCTTTCTAGACAGAGGAGGGCTCCAAAAGCTTTTCTTTTCTTTTCTTTTCTTTTCTTTTCTTTTCTTTTCTTTTCTTTTCTTTTCTTTTCTTTTCTTTTCTTGTGGGGGTGGGGTTTGGTTTTTTAGTTTGTTTTGGTTTGGGTTTGTTTGTTTTGTTTTCAGAACCTGGCAACTTCTCTCTCAGTTCCCTTTTATAGTTAATTAATTTTTTTTTACTTACATAAAAACATTCTGCTTCATTTCGGAAGGGAGAGAATAATCTATTTTTATGAAAGAGAAGAAAAAATTAGAAATTTTAAACCAAAATCATCAATTTCTGTCTTTCTGGTGTGAGTAATGGTGTCTAACAGAGTCCCCTTTACTGTGTCCTAGAATATTTTAGATGATGCACAGTTTCTTTTTTCTTACTTTTTTGTTAAATTATACATCATCTCAAATGTATATTTCTCTTTCACATGATAAATTCTCCTGTACCAAGATTAATTTTGCAGCTGTATACAACTGCTCTAGAGATCAGGGCACCCTTTGAGCCGTGCTTTAATATTCTGCAATGTGATAGGTTTTATAGGCATAACTATTGCCATCCCCTTGGCTCTGGGTGTTACATGCATCAAGGCCATATAACCCTCAAGAGAGGGCAAAGTGACTTTGCCTGGTAATCTCCCACCTCCTTTCTTTCTTATCACTGTTTTTCTCTGTGTTGTTTAATTTCTGCATTTAGCCTTATGTCACTTTTCTCCTCCATTGGCTTTCTGTTACACTGGGGTTTTGATTTTCCCCTTTAAACTTAATTTCTTATTTGTTTCTTTGTATTGTCCCTTTAGTGTTTCCAAATATGCAGGTCTTTCTTTAGTGAGCAAATGTGTTTAGTAGCTCTGCTCTCTGGGGTCATGAGTCATTCTGTAGGTCCCAGATCAGGGAAATTCTCTTTCAGTGGAGACTTCACTTCAAAATCTCCAGGATAATATGTGATATAAGTGTATATTTAGAAAAAAGCATTTCTTTGTGTGCAGTCTGACATAAGGTTCTCAAAGTTGTGCAATGCAAATGTAGCACAGGTGCAAACTAGGAGTCAGGTTAAAGGACTGGGATTAACCAATGAGGTAAAGCAGCAAAGAGTAGAACCCACTGTGTTTGATGGAACCAATTCCATGACTAAAGATTGCAGAGTCAAGCTTAGTTTGCTCAGGAACACATCACACTTGCTTCTTCCTCCTGCTGCACACAATTGCTGTCCATGGGGGGATCCTTCATTGTTTTTCTAGGAAAAAGAACAGGAAAAAAACTTTACAGAAATGGAATTACCAGTGGAAACACACGACCTGAATTTCTGACTCCAGCCATAAAGAGTTGCAGTCTCCACGCAGCAGCAGGGGCTTTACCTTCGGGGGGCATTAAGAGAGCCTCAAATAACCAGGATTCCTGAAGCCTATTGCAGTTTATTTAGGGGGTTGTCAGGCTTAATTAACTGATATTTATAAAGGGCTTTGAGACCCTCAAGTGGGTGGAGTTTCCAGTGCAAGTATTGGGCCCAGTCCTGCATTTTGTTCAGGCTGTGAAATTCACTGTTGTTACTGGAGGTAATTGAGAGCACAAAAGAGAAAGACAAGAGTCTAGGAAATCAGGCATTTATTCTGAAAGAAAATTTTCCCTGTAGACAAGCTTGAGTAACTTCATTTTTCTATCCTGCACATTTTACACCTGCACCTCTAAACCTGCTCTGTGTAGATTCTATTTGAAGCCTTTCACACAATGCAAGTGCTGCTTCGTGGAGGATGTGTCCATTTAGCACAGAGAAGTGACACCATTTTATTACTGAAGTTAGTAAGAATTTTCCAGGAACTTTTGAGAGAGAATTTTTCCTCAGTTGAATGAGATTTTCATCCTTCTACCCCTCACACATACCTGGTAGACACTTTAGAGGAGACGTCCTTGTGGCTGGGATCAGATGACTGAAGAAACTAGAGTTTACCAGTTCTAGCACCAGCAACTTGTAGGAGCTACACAGGGCTGTTGCTGTTGAAGCCCACAGGCCTTTTCCTCAGTCAGAAGGGGATGTCTCTCTTCACCTCAGTTTCCTCGTGGATGAAGTAGACGTGATGCTTCATTACTCTAACGAGATCCATGAATAAATATTCAATGGGCACCTGAGTGCTTCATGATGGTTGGGTGGAAGATGCAGAAGAGTGAGGTGTTACTAACTTTTGCTGATGCAGTTGGAGCAGCCTGCACAGACTTTTTGTCTTCTCTTTTAATCTCTGGAGACACTGCTGTCTGTGGGACAGTCCTGAGGGTGGCTGTGGCTGTGTGCTGGGCTTGATGCAGTGCCTGTGTTCTTGTTGCAGATGTCCAAGACCAGTGCCAGCCTTGGCAACCTGCTGAACATTAAGACAGAAGGTGAAGGCAGCCAGGCTGGGGCTGGGGAGCCAAGCCAGTACTTGGGCAAGGCAGTGAAGGCTCTTGTCCAGGAGAAGCTCTCTGAGCCATGGAAGATGTACCTGCGCCGGTAAGGAGGGCATGGAGCTGGGGAAAGGGGAAAGTGCTTCCTTTGCAAAGTGTCTGCCTCACTGAACACAGAGTTCTGTTGAGTGTAAAGCCTGATTCTGTCAGACACTGATCACCTGGAGCACACTTAGCCCTCGGTCGTCCCTGCCTGCACCAGGTGCTAATGTCTGCTAGGAAATACCTGCCCACACAGAATTATTTTGCAAAGGGGTCTTGAGAACCAGATACAAGCACAGATCTTCATGTAGTTCTGTTATCCTGGGCTTCACCTTAGGCTCCTCCTTGTGACCCTGCAGTGCAAGCCAGGGGACCCAGAGTAGCTGTGCTCTCAGCTCTGGACCTGAGTGACACCACGGCCACTCACAGGCCATGGGTGCCTTGCCGTGCTCCCTGGGCATTCCAGCTGAAAGCAAACAAGTTCTGGGGATGTAGAGGCATGGCAATAAGGAAAAGGGTATGGCAGCTGGGATGATTTCTGCTCCTTTTGTTGCAGGAAAGGAGACTCAAAAAGAAAATGGAGCAGATACAAAGCTCACCCACATACAGACACATGCACATACATGCCCAGACAGACACGTGCTTTGAGGGCACACAGATACACCCAGGCAGACACAGAGGTTTGTGCTCTGACACAGAGAGTCACCTACAAATGCCAGTGCACACTTGGGAAATCAAAGGCTTTAATGGGGAACACTAGAAAATCTCCTAGTCCATCAGCCCCTGGCTGGTGTGAGATCCTTCCCAGCAGTGCATTTGCATTTTGTCTGCTGTGGTTGTGATAGTGCCAGGCAGCGTGCCTCTTTTCTTGTCTCTGGGAGCATTATTCTACCACCTAGAAAGTTTCAATGTCACAACCTTTTCCACGGTGTGCTGCCTGAATTCCACTTCTTGGAGCTTTGTTGCAGCTCTGTTTACATCTCCTTGACCCATGGCAGATCATTCCTCTCTGCAGCTGGAGTTCAGCCCCTTCAGACAGTCCCAGACTTCCAGCATTCCATTTAACCAGGCTCACTTACCTCCTTCAGTCTCACTCTGGATTGGTCCCTGGTGCCTGCAGGTCCTGTTGCTTTCCCTTGCTCCCTGGATGGTGCAGAATTGCCCCCCTGCCCACAGAACAAGCTTCCTGCCCCCAAACAGGCAGCTCAGAATGTGTTTGTATCTGCACAGAATAATGTACAGTACCATGGTTATCATCCTCTGTGACACAGAATTGCTTTTAAAGTTGTTCAGTGAGTCCCCAGTGTATAAAACACCCCACACACAACATTTGTTGTGTGTTTCCAAACATGATTCTCCTGTTCTGAACGTTCCCCCTTGTCTTGCCAAACCTCTCTGTGCTCTTTTTCTCCTCTTGCACTGGTATTGCCACCTCCTCCCAGTTTAGTATCTTTGTGAATTTCATAAACACACTGTTTACTCCTAGATTAGTAATTAAGATGTTAAATAAACTCAGACTAACCCAAGCCCTCCTCTGAGCACTCACACGATGCCTCCTCCTCCCAGCTCAGTGTGGTGCTGGTTGTCATCAGCCTTTGTTTATGGTCCCTCAGCCAGTTTCAAGCCATGAGGTGGCATTACATCCAGGACAATTGGAATTAATTCTAAGCATATGCAAGACTGAATCAAATGCTTTACTAAAATCCAAATATATTGCATCCCTTCATCCACTAATTTTGTAATTCTATCAAAAAAAGCAATTAAATTTGTCTGGCAAGATTTATTCTTTATAATCCTGATGCTGTTTATTGCTCGTGGTTCCTTTATCCTCTAGATGTTTAATGATTTTCTCCTCCCTCTTAATATTTGTTCCATTACTTTACTGGAAGGAGAAGTTAAGGCCAGAGGTATGATAATTGCCAAAGATGACTTGTCTTTTCTTTTTCCCCCTCAAAGAAACTGTACCTTGACTGTTTAATTTCTTTTTTTTTCCACTTATGTAGTACCTCCCATTTCTCTATGGCTTAAAAACCAGCAAATGGTAATGTAATCAGTTTGGGAGTTAATTTCCATTGCACTTCAGGACATACATCATCCAGACTGACTGATTTGTGCATTTCTGTATTTTTCGAATGAGTCCCTTTATCTGCTCTTCTAGAAGATCTTCACTGCATCCCAAATTCTCTGCTTTGTCTTTAGTTTTCTCATCCAAAGCAAATTTTATAATGCAGCCATTCTTGATTCATCACCTCCCTTTTTGTGGGAGGCCTTCTTTCTAGGTTCAACACTTCTTGTCTCTGATGAAACAGCCCCTTTAGTTTGCAGTAACGTGGTTTCTTCTCTTACCCCACAATTGCTTTCCTTCCTCTTCTCCCTGCAAGCCATGTTGTATATCCACAGACCTTCCTTCTCCAGTACAAGTTTTTTCTCTTTCCTTTGCCCTCCCATTGGTGAGAGGTCCCTCCTGGGACCATACAGGCTGCTGTTTGTTTCTTGCTTTCCTGCTCATCAGAGCAACCGTAGTTTGTTGTACCTTAATTATGCAAGATTCCCTTGTTAAGTTTCAAATCCTTCCTGCCAGTGTTTCTTACTTGTTTTCTTGATTCCCTGTGATTCTGGGGTTTCCTGCATTTGTGCTGCACTTATTAAGTCCAGAGGATCTCAGCAGTGGCTGAGCAGTGACACCACGCTGAGCTGGTTTTGCTCTCTTGGCCGTTTGCTCCAGGATAGCACAAGACACATCTTGGAGACCGTGGTGGGTTTTGCTCTGGGGTTTGCAGGCAGGGCTGTTCTGTACATCAGGCATGGTGCTGTGCAGTATTTCTGCAGTCCAGGCTGTAATTGCTGTTAGAGGATGCTTCATCTCTCCCATCTGAGAGATACCCTCATAGCCAGGGGTGGATTCTGGATCTAGAATTACTGTTGTTTGTGGGAATGCTAATAGAGTTGAAAAATGCAGAAATAATGTGTGTTCCAGCTCCACTTCTCTCCTGGGGCCTTCCCTGAGATGTCTGCTTGTGTGTTTTGGCCAGGTTTGGCACCAAGGATTTCTGTGATGCCCAGTGTGACTTCCTCCATAAGGTGCATTTCCACTGTGTGGTGGAGGAATGTGGAGCCCTCTTCAGCACCCTGGATGGAGCCATCAAGCACGCCAAGTGAGTGGAGAGCAGAGGAAGCTCTGCAGTGCACACTGCAGCCCGAGACCACCCCGGGTTCCTTTTCAAGGCAATGGAATGTCCAAGTAAAGAATGAGCAAGGGCCTCAGTGGCCATGCACTTGCCTGAGTCTGAAGGGGTTGTAGGGAAGGAGATGTTGCAAATTTTAAGACAGATCTGCTGGCATGGCTGGTCTCTCCTGTTGGATGCTTCCCTGTGGTTCACTGCAGGAAAGGTCTGGCTTCTCCCAGCAGCCCTGGGAAGCTGCCCCACAGCTGATCTCAGTGACTGCAGTGATTCTGGGGTTTCTCTAATTTTAACATGCTTTGGCACCTGTCTCCACCCATCCTAATGATTTCCCTTCTCTTCAGAGATGATTTAGGATGGCCCTAAATCTTACCCAAAGTCTGCAGAGCCCCTTTTAGGATTTATCCACACCAATTTGTTTACAGGCTCCTGCCACATTCTTGTTGGTGTTTAATCAAATTACATGAAATGGTCAAGAATTTATGTCTGAGCTGGTATCTTGTTTTGCAGTTTTCACTTCCGAACTGAAGGTGGAACTGTGAAAAGCAACTCTGAGTCTCCCTTCTCAGCTGCTACTGAGAATAAGGCTTCACTGGCCCCTTCATCACCATCTGCTGCTTCTGCCACCATGGCCAGTGCTCCTGCCCTTGACGTGCCCACTCCAAACCCAGCTGCTATGCCCTCTGCTCCCACACTACTTGCTTGGAAGCAGCTGGCTTCAACCATACCCCAGATGCCTCAGATCCCAGCATCAGTGCCTAACCTGGCAGCTTCACCCTTGGCAACGACTTCCCTGGAGAATGCCAAGCCTCAGGTCAAACCTGGATTTCTTCAGTTCCAGGAGAAGTAAGTTTTAGCTACCATTTGTCTCCCTCCACCCTCCCCAGCCAACCTTTCCTCAGAGCTGCAATACCACACTTCTGTTCAGCCACTGAGAAACCTGTCTAGAAAGTACTCTGGGCTTGACTTCATGGAAAAATTACTTCTGTGAAGTCTAGGAAGTACTTCAAGGTTTTTGAGTGCATCTGAGAGCACTTTTAGGCATGAGTTTAGAAGATAAATAAATTTGTTGATCTATCTGTCACTGATCCCTGTTTTATCCCTTGCAAGAGCTGTGCAGAAATACAGGTATCTTTGCAGTGTGTTTGACAGTGAAGGGTTATTGGGCCAGAAATTCATGCACTGAGTGGGGGGTGGAAGGTACCAAACCCATTAGCTGCTGAGAGGGGCAGATCAGGGGAAGCCCTGGCATCTTGCAGTGGCCACGCTCAAGAGTTGTGTTTCCTTTGAACTTTAAATTGGAAAAGTGGCCCTCAAGAACCCACTGTGCTGTGTTCTAATAATCCTAACCAAGAAAGTGCAGTAGTTGGGTGGAATTGTAGTAATGTTGCCAGCCTCAATTCCCCTGAAGAGGAAGGTGGCTATGGGAAATCTGTGGGCCATGTTTGGAACAGAGGCTTCAGCTGGGCTCCCCTTGAATTAAATCCTGGCAAAGAAACAAATGTGTGAAATGAGTGAAGGTGATGATTGGGTTTTGGATGTATTCCAGTGATCCCTGCTTGGCAACAGACTGCAAGTACGCCAACAAATTCCACTTCCACTGTCTCTTTGGGAACTGCAAGTATGTGTGCAAAACCTCTGGCAAAGCAGAATCCCACTGCCTGGACCACATCAACCCCAACAATAATCTGGTGAATGTGCGAGACCAGTTTGCTTACTACTCCCTGCAGTGTCTCTGTCCAAACCAGGTAAGAGCCATCCCAGAGCAGTGTTCTGGCAGGGCTGGGGAGAGGGAGATGAAGGATCAGCTAGACTGACTCTCCAGCAGGAAGTGAGGCTGTGTGTGGCTTTCTTGGCATTACTACAGAACCATGGAAGTCATAATTATGTGGTCTGGAAAAAACATTTGGTTCTTATCAAATGGGAAATCATGATGCTTTTGTGTATTTTTGACTTGGGTGAAGTGGACAAGGGAATGAGAAGAGAGAAGATGACATACAATAAAAATCTGTGATGAATCCAAGCCCTGAGGAAGCTTTGGGATATCTCAGTGTAGAATAGTGTATTACAGAGTACACAACAGCAACGTAAAAGGACTCGAGAGGGGACAAGGTGCATGGCAGGTTGTGGAAGGTAAAATGGGATGTGGAGCATCAGTGCAGGCCCCTGTGGCACATCAGAAGGGGCAGCATCAGCAGCAGGCAGTTGAGGGTGCACTTGCTCTGGCCCTGCCTGAAGCAGCATGCCTGTGTGCTCCCCCCAGCACTGTGAATTCCGGATGCGAGGGCATTACCACTGTCTGCGTCCCGGCTGCTACTTCGTGACTAACATCACCACCAAGCTGCCCTGGCACGTGAAAAAGCATGAGAAGGCAGAGAGAAGGGCAGCCAACGGCTTCAAGTATTTCACCAAGCGGGAGGAATGTGGCAGACTAGGTGAGTTTTGCTCCGTTTCTCATGTGGTGTGTCCCATGTCCAGGCCAAGAGTGCCGTAAGTTAGAACCTGCAAGTTATGCCTAAGAGGTATTTGGTCATTAAATCACCAAACAAGAAAGGCAACAAAACATAAAGCAGTTCCTGGTCTGTCTGGTTGAAGTGTGTTTTCACAAACAGACCCAAGGTAAATGTACTATGCAGAATTGTGTATATGAATTTGTCTGGACATAAAGCTTCCTCATTTTTCTTCTTTTTTATCTAATTGTCAAAACTTTTTTTTTTTTTTGCGGGGGGGGGGGTTTGTTTGTTTTTTATACTTTGTAGTCTTCTTTTGGACCTACTGCTTGTGTTGGGTGAAATTTAAGGGTGCTCTGGTTGGAAAAAAAGGCTGGAACCAAACAAGGTTCAGAAAAACACCTCTGGGTTCTGTTCCTTCCCACTGCAGGAAAACAGCCACAGTAGCCAGAGCAAAACTTTTCAGCTTCGAATACATCAGGAATTTGTACCCAAATGGAAGTTAGTTTGTGGTAGCCAGGGTAATACATGTCAGCACACCACAGCCAGTGCCTACCCAGGTCCTGCTTACACATGGCAGCAGATCTAGCAGTTGCTGTTCTTTACTCCCCTTTGGTGTTTGAGGTGACAAAGCAGGGCAGTGCCACGTGGCACCAGCCCTCACCTGCCCTGTGTGACAGAGGTCCAGTCCCAGAGCACAGGGAGAGTGGGACCTAAACAAACACACTCCTGGCCTGCACATGAAACACTGGCTGTCAGCTCCACATGAGCTGGGGGGGTCAGGAGCTGTTTGGGAGTGAGGCAGCTGCAGCCTGTGCGTGTGTCAGCAAAGGGGGATGGGGTTCTGGGGTACACCCAGCAGTGTGTGCATCTGTGGGCTGGCCCTGCTGTGCAGCAGACACACATCCAGCCAGCACCCTGCATGTGCCTGCATAGATAGAGGCCGCTTGGTGGGGTGGTGTAGGTGTGTATGGTTTTACCAACACTCATTTCTATGTCAGTGTACATCCCTGGGGTTTATGTTGTGTATTTGTAGACAGCAGGTGCAGAAAGCACTGGCCTGTGTTAAGGGCTGTGAATGTTTCTGAACAAACACCCACAACAGATATTTTCAATGTATGTTTCTGTGTGTTTAATCATGTAAGTGTGTATGACTGGGGAGAGAGAGGTGAATCATACTTATGTAAGTAAAGGTGGATGGATGTAGACAGATGAGTAAAAGTGAGCCTGTCTGTAGGTCTCTACCTCTGTGCATATGGCCAGGGGAGGATGGGAAACAGCAGGTCCTGATCACTGGTGTAGCTGTGTTTAAACTATGACAAGCCACTGTTTATCAGCCGTGCAGTTTGGGATTGTCCCTTAATGGTTTGTGCACGGCTGGCACGCGTGGCTGTGGCCACGAGGAGCAGAACGTGTGAAGTGCTGGATGCCAGAACCCAAAGGAATTGCTGCTTGTCCAGTGGCTGCCCCTCTTGCACAACAGCTCTGGAGTGGCAGTAAACACTGCCTGGCTCATTCCTGTCTGACCAGAGCACACACACTGTCCAGAGCTAGGGTTGATATGAGACTGCTTTTCTGAGAGCACAGTTAGAGGGGGAAAAAAAGAACTTTTCATTTCTAATCTAATTATGAGCGTGTGTTTTGATTGTAGCTTCTGTGACACAGCTCAGTGTCCTGGTTTTGTTCTTGTAGTAAAAGAAAAGGCACTAGCTAAGACTGAAGAGCATTAGGCACTACCAGATGTAATGGCAATGTTCCTTCCTTTATAATGGCACAAAGAGGGATGGGACTGGGCTGAGGTCTTAGATCTCTGTACACTGTAATCCTCTCTTGCAGTTGCTCAGCAGGCAGTAGATTGTGAGTTTGGGTTTTTTTCCTTCAAGACTGTTCCTGAATAACCCATGACCACTGATAATGTTCTGTCTGATCATCTTCCCTCTGGTCCTGCTCCCTCTGGGAACCTTCATGTGCAACATAAATGTGGGTCTGTGTTTACAGGTTGCAAATACAACCAGGTGAACAGCCACTTCCACTGCATCCGAGAGGGCTGCCAGTTCTCCTTCCTGCTCAAGCACCAAATGACATCCCATGCCAGGAAGCACATGAGAAGGATGCTGGGGAAGAACTTTGATCGTGTTCCTACTCAGGTAGCTCCTTGTTGCTGAAGCTGTAGACCCACAGGCAGTGTTGGCCCCTTGGGTTGCAGAGCTGATGCAGTGCCAAGACACTTGTACCCAGCCTCTGAGGGATGTGTGTCTGCTCTGGGGGATGCTGCTGGGCAGTGGGAGTACACCCAGGGTAGCTTTACCTGGCTGAACTTACACAAGATGAGTAAGATGATGAAGCATTGATTGCAAAGCGTTGCTTAGTGCAAACAGCTTTTCCTTGTAAATTTTGTAGAAAAATATTGAGAAGGATAACACTAAAATACTCAGATTTTCTACTTTCACTCTCTCCCAGCTCTTTCAGTATATACAATTGGCTTATTAAAGTTAACGTGCTTAGGATGTGGAAGAATTGAATGTGCTGGTTAAAGATTTTTCCTGTTGAATGTAAAGAATTCACAGATGCTAAGGAACTGGTATTGCTGTTGGGGCAGCTTTTGGTCTCTTGTAAAAAGTTTAGGTACAAGAATCAGACTTAGGAAGATCTAACAAATAAATTTCTCTTCACTACTCTTCTAGCAGATGCTGAATCTAACCCTAAGAATTCTAGTGCACACTGAGCAGAAAATGCTGTGTGTACCCTCCATCTTTCAGGGGCTCAGCACTGAACTCAGGCATGGTTCCAGCATCTGACTGCAGCAGGACCCACGGGGTGAGGGGGCAATGCCAGCATTAACACCTCCTCTTTGGGAAGCATCAGAATCCACACGCCAGGATGCTGGTGCCAAGATTAACACCCCCAGCTCCCAGTGCAGCACAATTCACACACCAGGATGCACGTGCCAGGTTTAATGCTCTGAGCTCCCAGTGCAGGAGGAGTCATGCTCCCAGCCCCAGTGCCACGGGTTCCACTCACAAGCACGTGCCAGCTGTCCCTCATGGGCTGTGGCAGAGGGAGATAAACGTGCAGACAGATGGTTTTGGTCCTGGTATCTTGCTTTTGGTGTGAAAGTCCCCGTCTTGTTTTCCTGCTGCAGGTTATTGGCCACACTCCAAGAAATGAAAATCTCCCCCAGGTTGGCAGCATGGCACCCAGCCCAGCCTCATCAGGAACCCCAGCTTCCTTTCAGGGACCCCCAAGCATGATGGACACTGAAACAGAAGAGTACATGGATTACACTGGCTGTAGCCCTGGGGGCATCTCCTCTGAATCTTCCAACATGGACCGCAGCTGCTCCAGCACTCCAGTGGGCAATGAAAGTACATCAGCAGGTAAGGAGAAGGGTGTGTGTGAAATGGATCACCTGCTGCCTGCTCTCCTGGGAGAGAAGCTCATGAAAAGAGGCCAAGGAACAGTTGCACCTTAAAATACATTCCTGTGCCAACTTCAGTGGTGCCTCACACTAACCCAGCTCTCTCCAGCACCTGAGAGAAGAGGTCCATCAAAATATACACCTCAGGTATCCAGGAACTTAGCAGCAAACTTTTTCCTCCCATGAAGAGAGGTTTTTATCCTGGGTCTTGGAGTTGGGTATATTTTAATAGTTGACTTTAGAAAGAAAACAGTAAAAAAGAGCTGTGGGCCTCTTCTGTACTTAGAATTTTCTCTGGTACCTCTTTGTATTTCCTCAAGCAGCATCCAAAGTCAGGCACTTTATTGTACTGGTGAAGTACAACAGCAGATTGACATACACAGGGGATAGAACCTATCACATCTTCAGAAAGCAACATCTAAAAGCAGCTTACTGAGCTCCCTTCCTCACCCAAAAACTCTTGTTCCACTTGGTGCAGTTGCACAGAGCAGACCCCCTCCATCCCCTCTTTTGGAAAGTTCCTGCCCCGTTTGCCAGGATCGTGCAGAGCCGTGTCCCCCTGCCCTGCATTGCAGGGGCAGCTCATCAGGAGTCAGATACCTGGTAGGAATTCTGCCATCATGAAGTGGTGACCAGGGATCTCTCAGCTGTGCCTCCCCAGGGTTTAGTGGGATATTCTGCACAGGCTGCCTCAGTTTGCTTTAATTCCATGCACATTTTCCTAGTTTTCTGCCCCCCCAGTTCGCGGCCACCAGAGCAGTCACGTTGGAGGAGCACTGCTGGGTCCTGGCACATCATGGCACCTCCAGGGGTTCTGCTGGGGCAGTGGTTCCTGGCACACTCCTCTGTGCCAGCAGTGGCCCAAGTGCTAGGAAATGCCCCTCACTGCTCTCCAGGCAGGGAACAGCTCACCTGCCCCAGGTGTCAGAGCACCCCTACAGCTGAAGCAGGCAGCAACCCTAGAGATGAGCAAGGACCAGAATGACCAAATGAATCCAGAATTCCTGCCTGAAAGCCTGTGTCTCTTCCCCCGTACCATAAAACCACCTTACCTCCTGCAGAGACAACTCTCCTCTTCCTGGTGCTGTCAATTCCTCACCTTCTGTTTCTTCTCTGTTGCAGTTCTGTTTCATACATTTGTGAATGTATTTTCCATTTTCATCATATTGCTTCTGCTCTTGGGTTCTCATTTCAGTTCTTTTGTTTCTTGTTTTGTTGGGTTTTTTTGGTTTTTTTTTTTTTTTTTTTTTTTTGTTTTTTTTTTTTTTTTTTTTTTTTTTTTTTTTTTTTTTTTTTTTTTTTCTTTTTTTTCTGCTTTTTTTTTTCTCTCCACATTCTCCAGGCTGCCTGGTTCCTTCTACTGCTACTGCTGCTGCCGATGACGCAACCCACACTGCACCACAACCTCCACCACCATCTCTGCCTCCATCTTTCTCACAAGCCCTGCTTAGGTCTCCCCTCCCCACCCTCCCCTACCTCTTCTCCCCATCTTGTCTCTCGTACTCCCTGCTCAGTGCCACCCTGGGAGCCAGCAGAGGCATTGTCATGCCTGCCGCCAGCACCGCTGGGTTCTCGCCCATCATTGCCACTCCAACTCCAGTAAAAAGTGACGTTCCCTTAGTGCAGGATGCAGCAGGTAACACTCCTTTGCTTTCTCTCCGTGTCCTGTGCCCAGCTCTGTCCCCACTCACCCTGCCCATGGTTTTGCTCTGCACTTTGGGTGGGTAGAGCAGCAAAGGTCACTCTGTGCCTTGGCATTGTTCCCCAAGGGCCAATCCATGCCTGCTCCTTTTCCTTGCTGACAAATAACCAGAGCCAAGGGGAAACAAACCACAGCAAATCATTCATCGACATTCGGATGAATAACTGAGAGCAATTGCCACCAGTTCCTAACTATGAGAAAAACCTAACAAAATCCACAGCTAAAGTGCATTTTCAGTGTCTTGGTGACCTCAAAGTGGCCACAGAGCAAACTTTTGCTCATGTGGCATTAATGGGACTTGGACTTCTTGGTTAGATCTTCCAGGCCAGCCAAGCCAGTGCCTGCCATAGTGTGCTGCACAGGTGAATGTCTGATGAGGTGCCCAGGCCCTGTGTTTCAACTGATCTTGCAAACTTCATATCAAGCCACAAAGTTGAGGGGTGCCTTCCCAGGATGAGGAGTGAAGTACAGCCAGTGTCACATGATGACATCATCAGACAGGTTGAGCTGTTTCTCACACTCATTATTTATCAAGGCTCTAATCAGCTGCAGAAAGTACAGATAGATTTCAGTTTTGGGCTGCCATGATTCCCATGTGTGACTAAGATCAGAGATGTCTCAGGCTGGGTATTCTCATTCCATCTGGGAATGGCTTTTAGGGTGTGTCTCATTTTTGGCTTCTTTTCCCAACTGCTAGCTCTTTTCTAGTTAATTAAGGACATCTTTGTGCTTAAAGCTCACACTTATGAGGCTTCTGGCAGCCTTCAAATGTCCCAGTCATTCTTCCTGCCAGTTTCAGTAATGTGTAAATCCAAGGTCAGAGGTTGGGAGTATGGCTGGAGGACCAACTTCACAGGTTTCCAACTCCAGTTCATAGGTTTTTCTCAAGGGACTTGGCAGGAGAAGGATCCTTGCCTTGTCCAGAGGAGTGTGTGCCAATTAACAAAACAAGAAACTATCTTTGCTTCTTTTTTAACTGAACTGCATGCAGCCTGAAACATTTTTAACCTTGTGCTGTGCTTCCTCTAATCAAATATTTTAAAGTGTCTTTTGTTTTTACCTTGGTTTGGTGAATGCTGACATTATTAGTGGTTAAAGAAATAACCTTAAGGAAAACACCATTGAGATTTGGTGGGGATCCCATCCATTGAGGCTTGTAATCTTTCACAGGGTGCAGGGACTGAATGCTGGCAAAAGAGGAGAGTGCACCAAGTGTCATCTCCCTTCATTATGCCCTTGCTCCAAAACTTTACCTGCATGAGAAAACAGAATTGGTTTTCAACTAAAGTTTTAAGCACATCTGTTTGAACTATTTTAAAAGCTGTGTAGATACAGAGTTTTAAATGGGTAAAATTTAAATTCTGCTTATTTCCCATCCAGAGTCTTTTCTTTAAGATGGATTATCCCATATTCCCATCCAAAGGCAGACAATATGAACATTAATTAATGCTAAAGAACTTGATGGTTTGGCTGTAATTTTATTAAAAGGAGTTAATCTGGACAGCAGTGACTTGTCCAGGCACCACTGCACTTACATGAGTTGGCTGGGAGTGGAGAACTGGATTTTTCAATACCAGATGTTCAGGGGGGAGCAGAGAGCAAATTGGTCACAGATTCTGTAGTTAGGAGCCTGCCAATTTCAAATCTCCAGTGACAGAAAGTTATTCTTTGCCTGGTAGCTGGTTAAATCAGCCTTAGCGTGCAGTTCCCACCGTGGCACTCAGATGGTGTCACCATGGGTGACCTGAGCTGGTGTCCTGAGTCTGAGCACAAGAGCCAGTAACAAATGGTGCAGGAAAACCTTTTGTTCTTTGCTTATCCCACAAGCTGTACAGCCCAGCCGTGTGGAGAGGAGGTTCCTGCCACCGGTGCCTCTGGGAGTGGGGCAGGTTTCCTTCCGTGGTCACCACCTTCTCCTGAAGGCTGCCACGGAGGGGTTGTCACCTGGGCACCAAGAAGGGAAGCAGTGACTGTCCCTTCAGCCTCCCAGACCAGGATGCAAGCTGCTCTGGGTTCTCAGGCCCCACGCCCTGTGTGTCACAAATTGGGCCTCTTTTAAAAGACAGCAGTTTCAGCAGGGAGAGAGTAAAAAAAAAAGGATGTGTTAGTTGCAAGCTATAATTTCTAATTACACTCACAGTTCTGCACCTGGTGAGAAATTCTTGCCTCCAACCGTGTCTGTGCTGCATGTTGATACTGGAGATTGTGGGTTGATTCTGGAAACAGCAAGCAGAGAAGGAGAAAAGTTAATAGATAGACTGAGGTCGTGTCTTTGATGTCAGATGATCCTAGGGGACACGAGCACCAGCCAGTTCTGCTGGCCCTGTGAATCAAAGTGGAAGATAGATGAGGGATCTTTATTTATACTAGGGGCATCGTGGAATTTTTGAGACCCAAGGGAATGTTGCAGAGCTGGTATTTTCTCTCAGAGTCCACTGGCTAGTGATGATGAGAATTAGCCCCATTGAACATCTGTCCATCTGTCTTTCTAAGTGCACTCATTGTAATATGTAGGCTCATTACAGTGAGGGATGTTGCAGTCTCCTGGCCAAAGTCCATCCTGTTTCTATAAATTCCACACACCCCCCCGCTGCAGTTTTAATCACGCATGGGATCTTCCTTCACTTCCTGCCTGTCCTTGGCAATTGTAGTGTGTTAGGAGAGCCTGGATGGGGGAAAACAGTGCACATGTACCAGCTTTTAGCACACTGCAGCTCTTGGTACCACCCCAGGGAGCTACAGTAACACACCTCAGTCCTTGGGCTGGAGCAAGCCAGCTCCTCCCTATTAAAGTCTGATTTGAGGGAAATGGGACTAGAGATTAGAGAAACTGTGAAAGCAGCAAACCAGAAAGCAACAGTTCACATTTGTACAAGATCAGGTTTGCCAGGGCAGCAATCAGAGACAAGACAGGATATGCTGAAAACTGAGGAAGTGATGTCCAGCAGGCATCAGCCAGCCACAGTGCTGGGGTTTGGGCTCGCTGAGAGCTCGAGGCACGAGCTGCGGGTGGGAGCAGTTGCAGCATTGTGTCCTGGCAAACACAGAGCTTGCCAGGAGGGCTGGAGATGGAGAGACCTGGCTGTCAGCAACACCGCTCTGCGCTTTCTCTCCTCAGGGAACACCATCACCATGCCAACTGCCTCGGGGGCCAAAAAGCGTTTCTGGATTATTGAGGACATGTCCCCGTTTGGCAAGCGCCGCAAGACCGCGTCCTCACGCAAGATGCTGGATGAAGGGATGATGCTGGAGGGATTTCGGCGCTATGACCTCTACGAGGACTGCAAGGACTCCAGCTGCCAGTTCTCTCTCAAGGTTACCCACTACCACTGCACACGGGAGAACTGCGGCTACAAGTTCTGCGGCCGTACCCACATGTACAAGCACGCCCAGCACCACGACCGTGTTGACAACCTAGTATTGGATGATTTCAAACGCTTCAAGTCTTCACTGAGTTGTAACTTCCCAGACTGTCAGTTCTCTGGCAATAGCACACACTTCCACTGTCTGCGCTGCGGCTTCCGCTGCACTGACAGCACCAAGGTGACGGCGCACCGCAAGCACCACGGCAAGCAGGACGTCATCAGCGCCGCCGGCTTCTGCCAGTTCAGCTCCAGCGTGGACTGCGAGGTGCCTGACTGCAAGTACAAGCTCAAATGCTCCCACTTCCACTGCACCTACCCCGGCTGCAAGCACACGGTGGTGGGCATGTCTCAGATGGACTCCCACAAGCGCAAGCACGAGAAGCAGGAGCGAGGGGAGCTGCCTGCCATCTCCCCCGGCCCCGAGGGCCTTGCCCACTCCGCTCTTGAGTACGATATCCAGAACTCTTCCATCAACCTGGACAGTTCGCTCAACCTCAGCACTGACAACAACAGCTCCCTGTTCTTCCTGCAGAACGCGGCTGGCGTGGGCCTCAATGACTCCCTGGACCTCAGCAAGAAGCAGGCAGACGTCGCCGAGGGCCCGTCCCCAGGCAGAGCCGGGGCCGCGCCGCCGGAGAGGAGCGCGGCGGCACCGGGCTCCGGGGATGTGGAGGACGAGGACGACTCTTCCCAAGAGGATGAAGAGGACGATGAGGAGGAGATGAATGAAGAAGAGGAGGATGATGAAGAGGAGGATGACGACGATGATGATGAGGAGGACGAGGAGGAGGAAGACCTGAACACAGATTCTGAAGAATCGCTGCCGGACCCGGAGGGCCTGGCCACTAAAGAAGATGGAGAACCAGAGGAGGGTGCTTCTTCCACAGACCATGGCGATGCTTCCAGGCCTCAGGGCGAGCCAGCCCTCACCCCAGCCCCAGCTCCTGCCCCTGCTCCAGCTGCTGCCTCAGCCTCCACCGTTGCTCCAGCAGCTTCTCCTTAATCCTAGGGACAGCAGTGGCAGTGGTTTGGTTCTTCTCTTACTCAGATTTACTAAGAGGACCCCGCATAAGGCAAGAACAAAGATGGGGATGGCGAATGAAAAACGAACTCTGTGCCACACATGAGAGAGAGGAAGGAAGGAAGGAAACCCCTGCTCCTCCCCAGGCCCCAGAAGAGATCGGTTGGCAGCAGGACTGGTGCTGCATCACTCCATCCTACAGATCCCAGAACAGGGGGGCAGGATGCAGCAAAAAATACCCTTTCTATGGACACGAACCCTGAGGGTACCCACTACTTTTCCTTGCTCCCTGCACGGTGCGTGGGGCCTGTGCCCATCTGGGGACCCTTTTTTATGGGTGGGGCTCTATCACCCCAATTTTCTTTCTGGGTTTTATTTTTCCATGTTTTCAGTTGTACGATAATAATAATAATCTCCACTTCTTGGAGGGGGGTGGGTGGGAACAAGAGGTAATGAATTTTAGAAATATATATTTGTGTGTGTGTCTCTCTATATAATGTACACACACACACACATATATAAAATTAAAGGAATTGGTGTCACAAAGACAAGTAGCTCAGCTTTTGCCAGTGGGAAGGAGGGGGTGAGGAGTGTGCTCTCTCTCTCTCTCTCTCTCTCCACCCTTCCCCCTTCTTTCTCCAGCATTAAATGGCATCAGACAGCCAGGGTGGGAGTGGGTATTTATTGTCACATAAATGAGGATGCATTAATGAATGAGCAGGGGTGGGAATGGGACACTCCTCTGTTCTTCCAGATCCTTTTTACTGTTAATGATAATAATTTTGAATGCTATTTATATTGTAAAACTTTCTCAGTCTACACTTTCTCTGTAGGACACCTCTCCTCATCCCTGCTGTTGTGATGTAGGGATTTAGCTGAAGTAACCTGGGAAGAACACAGCAGGCAGTTCAAAGGGTCTGTCACACTGGAGGACTGGGGTTACTCTGCCATCCAGGCCCATCTCATCCCAACCCCTAGGTGCTTCCTCTCTGCGGAGGTGAGGCGTTTTTGTGGTGCTTCAGTACCCCCATCTCAGGAGCTGTGAGCTGCCCTGCCCCGTGGTGCAGCACGGGGAGCAGCCGGCTGCCAGCGGCGCGTCCTGGTCCCCGCGGCAGCCTCGGGACAGCGTGCCCCAGGCAGTGGCACCGGGACAGTCCCCTCCCCAGCCCTGGTGCCCAGCCCTGCTGCAGGCGCGCCAGCTGTGACAGACACGGATCTCAGGTGACTCTGGCAGGCTCTGGGTGCCCTGCTCAGCCCTGGGCAGCACCTGCCTGGTCCTGGGCTGTTCCAGACCTGCCCTGGGACAGGCAGGGCTCAGGCAGGGGCTCTGCAGCAGCCTGGGCTTCCCCTGGCTCTGGGCTCTTCCCGCTCTCTTTCCTGGCCTGGCCTGGGAACACACACTACAGGACCTGTCCCGGCCTCTGGCAGGTGCCACAGTAGCTGTTTGACCCCAGATCCTTGCCTGAGCCTGACAGGGCTTGTCTACACACGCCAGGGCACCAGAAGGACTGGTATGAATTAATTCTGATAGTTGTTTTGGTGCCAGTTTTAAAGTATACCAGATTAGTCTGAGCTTTGTCCTTTTTAAAAAAAAAAAAAAAATCATTTGTTTTATACCATGCAGGCACCCTCTCCCCTCCTCAGCTCCATGAGCACTTCAGCTCTAAGGGATCCCCAGGATTTGTTTTCACCCTGAACAGATAAAGGCCTGAAGAAATTTAGGTTGCTTTTTTTTTTTTGTTATTTCCCTAAGGAACTGGTGCAGATCAGGTCTGATTTATAAACAAGCAGCTCAGCTGTGTAAATGTGGGGACAGAATGTTCAGCTAATGTTTCAAAAGGAAAGGAAAAAAAAAAAGTTGTACAGTATTTTTCCTGTAAAGGTTATTACTATATATAGAACAAAAGAGAAACCACCAATGCCAAGGGGTGGAGGGGGAGGTGTCACCTGCCTTCTGGATAGCCCTTACATATGGTTAATTGTGTGCAATTTTTTTTCTCCTTTTTTTTTTTTCTTCTCTCGCTCTTTTTTTTTTTCCCTTATTTTTTTTTTCTCTCTTTCAATGTAGTGTATGTTTGTAGGGGTGGCAGGGGAGGGGGGGCCTTAATGCTGTGGTTTGAGGCTGACTTCACACTCCCAGCACTGACCAGACCTGCACGATTCCGAACTCTAACTTGAATTTTGTAGAGATGAAACAAATGAAAACAAATGAAATATTATCACTAGTTTGTAGTTTATTTAATTCTTTGGAGTTCTTTTCCTCTATCAGCTATTTGTGTGGCTTTTATTTTTATAGGGGGTTTTTTTGTTGTTTGTTTGTTTTTGTTTTGTTTGGTATATCCCCTACCCTCAGCTGTGTGTTCCCTAGCACAGCCCCGTTCTCGAACAGAATGAAGCTCACGTTCCTGGGGCAGAGCGATGGAATGATGCCCTGGAATTTCTCAAAATGGGATGGGGCAAAAAGATTTTACTTCACTAGCATTTGCTGCAGGTTCTGTACTTGTACATTTTCCGTGTGTTCAGCTACTTAGATAGTGTGGTGATGGGCTCCAGGAGGAATCCTTAGATTAACACGAGCCACATCTTGCAGAGCAGATGTGATTATTCTGTGCCGCCAAAATCAACAGGATCTCTGTCAGTGACTGTGGAGCAGGACCGAGCCCTGCTGGGAGCCAGGGGCAGCACGAGGCCTCCCGGGCCACTCGTGTCACTCGAGTCACTCGTGTCCGTGCCCTGGGACGGCGTCAGCTCTGCCCCGCAGCGGGGACAGCGGCAGCAAGGGGACAGGAGCAAGGGCTGGCGGTGCCCCAGCCTGCCCCAGCCCGGGGGCTGAGTGTGCCAGGAGGGCCCACGTTTATCTATGCACACCATTTCCCCCCAGGCACCCCAGTTCTCCCTGACACCTCAGCCCTTGTCCCAGAGCTGTGTCACCTCTTGTCGGGAGCTGGAGCTGAGCGAGCCCCCGGCCTGGCCCTGGAGCCGGCGCGCAGGACAGCGGCCTCCCCGTCCTGCCGCTCCAGCGCTGTCTGTCTGCAACAACAACAACAGAAAGTTGAACCCGGCTTTTTATTCTGCCATGTTCAGGCTTTAATTCGGCAAAACCCTTAAGCAGAAGAGTCTGAGTGGGCCCGGGTTTAAGCCCGAGCTTAAGTGCTTTTCTGAAGAAGGGCCTCACAGCCCAGACCCCGTCAGAGCAGGTGGTTTGTCATTCCGAGCTCTCGTAGCAATGGGACTGTCTAAAGAATGACCAGAGAAAGAGAGGGAGATTCAACTGGCTCTATAAGAAGAGGAAAGAGGAGAGAGGAAATGGAACTGTTTTGTCCAAAACAAGATAAAAACCAAACAATAATAAACCTTGAGATGGACCCTCCTGATTCTGCTACCATTCACTGCTGAAGAGCAAAAAAATTAAATAAAAACTATTGACTAGATTGTTTGTTCTAGCCACAAACTCAACTGGATTAAAGTCTGCGTGGAAGGAATTTTATAAAGAAAAAAAAATTTAAAAAAAAATTTTCCAATGTAGCAAAAAAAAAAACAACTTTAAAAAACAAAAATTAAAAAAAAAGACAATGAGGGAGGATTCTAGCCTTTTGTAATATCCATATTGCACACTAGGACTATAAGCCATTGCTAGCTCATTTTGAATTTTAAATGTGTAATTTTATTTTGTTTTGTTGTTGTTTTTTTTTTCTTTCCATGGGGGAGGGGGGAAGATAAATGCTTGAACCACCAATGCTCTTTTTAATGTTTTATAAATATGTATGTGTATATATATAAATATAAAAATAATATGTATGCACATATATATGTGTGTGTGTATATATCTATATGTATATACATATATATAGATATATAGATATATATATAGGTTTTGAGACAAAAATGCAGAAAGTGAAAAAAAACACCCTAAACAGGATGGTGTGCTCTGATTTACTTGAATCTGGTCTCTTCAGCACCTGCGTTATTAAGAACTGAATATTTTTCCACTTGAATTTAGTGCTATTAGAAATTTAATATATGTGTTTTATTTATTTGATTTTTTTTTTTTTTTTTTTTGCATGACTGATGCAAGGTTTGACATTTTCACTCAATAAAAACTGGAAAAAAAACCCCAAAGTTTGCAGCGATCGAGTTGTCTCCTTGCTCGGTGCGGTCCCGGTGCCGCTGAGGCCCGTGCCAGGATCTCCGGGTCTCTGTGCCCCCCTGCCCCAGCAGAGGCAGCGCCTGCACTGCTGCACTGGCAGCAGCTGCCTCCTTGTCAGCACAGAGGATTAGAGTCCTCTCTCTTTCAAAGCCCCTCGCTGCTCTGCCGCAGCTCCCGGCCATCCTGTTTCCAGATGTCATTATCTGAACATGCTCCTAATCCAGAGGTTTGTTCTCACTGCAGCTCTGCCCACAGCACATGGAATATTTGAATGGCCTTGTTTCCAGGTGGGACAGGGGACATGAACAACATCTCATTGCTGGAGAGCTTTGCTGGAACCTGCCTTTTCTCAGTGGGACTCTGACTGGACTTCATAAAAGAATGACTGAGCTGTGGGAGAAGCTGCAAGTTGAACAAATCAAAGTTTTTGCATTTGTTCCAAGCCCTTGCAGGTGGTGATGGTGCAGTCTTGCACCCACAGCCCTGCCCCTGAGGAGCAGCAGACACCAGGCAAGGTCACTTGTTCTAATGCCAAGACAAAATCGGGGCAGTTGCTGCTGCTGTTGCACTTGGATAGCTCCAGTATATCCCTGTAACAGCCTTGAGTCCTCTGGCAGACACTGGCACATGGAAATCCAAAAGGCTCCAGCCCTCACCTTTTGGGTCTCTGCTGTCTTGAACAGATGTTACCAGGACCTGAAAGAGACAAAACCTGCAATTCCTACCTACACAAACAATTCCTACCTACAACAAACAATTCCTACAACAACAAACAATTCCTACCAAATGGGTGAGGGCAAAGAGGGAAAAAGGCCCTGAGCATTTGTAGGTACAGGAGGTGCTGGAAGGGGTGACAGCATCCAGCCCTGGGGCACAACGTGGGCTCAGACACTCCCCTCACAGGGGTCAGGCATTGCCCAGGAGATGCCATGGTCCATCCTGAAGCAATCCCTTCATCTTCCCAGAGCAAGGCAGGGTGTCCTCACCCCCGTCCTGCTCTTGCCCGTGAAGTGCCCCAGGCCCTCCTAGCTGAGGAAGGGTGGCCAACAGAGGCAGCTTCCCTTCTTCCTTTTGCTCTTTTTTGGCAGGAAAACTCTTAAACAAACAAATGAAGAAACACAGAGGATTTAAGTAAACAGCTGAAGATTTATCTGCCAGGCAGACAGGGCTGTTCCCTCCCTCCCCACAGGGCAGTGGCAGCCAGCAGCCCCTGCCCTGAGCCCTGCTGCTGCCACAGCCCCAGGGACCCTCGCTGGGATGCCAGGACAGGGCCAGGCTCTGCCTGAATGCCAGAGCTCTGCAGCTGGCACGCTGAACTGGGCACACCGAGACACTTGGTCCGTGGCCAGAGCCAGTCAGACAGCCCTGGGGGGAAGCAGTGCCTTCATCAGTGGCCAGGTGATCCCTGCAGGTCACATCTGGGCCAGAGCCAGCTGTGCCCACAGGGGTCCAGCTCTGGCCTCAGGCACCCAGTGTCCCTCTGTGCCCACTCACAGCCTCTGCAGAGGGTCCCAGGGCTGGCACGGCTGCAGCCCCTCCACGTCCCTGCACACAGCACAGGGGGACCCCCTGCCAGGGGCATCCCCCACACTTCCCCATTTCCCCACACAGATCAGCAGGTTCTGCCTGCAGCTTTTAGAGCTGGGAGGGGAAAAGAGACAAGAAAGTGATGCAGTAGTGGGATTTTCCAATTCGAGGCTGCACCAGGCTTGTTCTAGCAAGCAGAAGAGGCTGTGAAGCAAGAGGGAGTCCCAAGCTCCACCTCACAGCCAAAACCTGCCATGGGAGTGTTGATATTACTGCAAAAAGCAGGCAGGTAAGCAGACAAGCAGGCCTGCAGAGATGGAACCTGCTGTTGACAGCGGGCAGAAAGCAAGGAATAATTCATCTGTACAGGAAAGCTGCAGCATTTAGTGCAGGGGGCAGAGCAAGGAGTAATTCATCTGTACAGGAAAGCTGCAGCATTTAGCACCCAGCCCTTAGTGAATGCACAAAGTTGAAACTGCTTAAGTAAAGCAAATCTGCTCAGAGAGATGGAAGAATGTCCACCCCAGAATTTGCTGGTTTAATTAAATCAGTTAAAGAAATTAATTTCAGACAGGTGGTACTACACAAAACCTCAGCAGTAGCTCTAGAAGCAGAGGTACAAAGTTGAAAGCAGCCTGTGAAGTGCTGGAAAGGAAAGAGCATGAGGAGGCAGAGATGAGGGAAGGTGACAGGAGGCACGAGCAGGATTTTGCCAAGCAAGGGGACCGAGACACAGGCAAGCAGCCTGGCAACGTGACAGCCAAAGAAAAATAGGCAACAAATAAGCCAGTTGTACTTCTGGATCCTCTGAATCAGCCCTACCCAGCCAATCACCTTCTCACACAGCAGACACAGTCCCAAAGAAAAGCAAGCATTTTACCTAAACCAATATAAAATATAGTGTCACTCTCCTATTCCTCTTCAGGCTCTTCTTGCAGCCAGTATCATAAAACATATCTCATTATTTGCACAAACATAGAAGAAACAAAATAAAACCCTGAAGGATGAATTCCTTCAGCAGCTGCAGAAAAGGGGGGCCTGCTAAAAAAGCAGGGTGTTGTTCTAGGAGGCTCCATACTGTAAGTAATCCCTGAGCAGTCCTGCAAAGCATTTGGGGAGATTTTTAGCCTGAAAGACACTTTACAGAAATAAATTGTAATTGAGTTTTAATAATCTTCCCCTTTTCAGAAAGGGCCTGATAGATGCTGCCTAGTGCTCACTTCTGCCCCATTTCAAAT